CTGCTTAAAGCGGCGTCGCTCTGCAGCTGCCGTGAGAATGTTTGTGGTTTCTGAGGAGTGCAGATCCTCACACTCACGTTGGCCTCTGACATAAGACACACGGCAGTAATTCAGCTGCGTGCACACCGAGGCCCGTCCGCTCCTTCTCGAGGAAGTAGGATGCTAGGACGGATTGAAAGGACACTTCCTGTTACTTCCATTCACGCGTCGGCCGCACTGCAAAAGTTTCAGCTCGGGACTTGATAATCCCGGTGATCACGTTTAGTTCTCTGCGATGTGATTACACTCTTGTTATTATTATTGTCATCCGTCTGCGAGGCCGACAGTCAGCTAGCTTAGCTTAGCTTAGTTTAGCTTAGCAAGATGACTGTCCAGTAAAATCCATTTTAAAGAAGCTAAATTACATGTCATGTTTTTTCTTAATTCATACTTAAAAAGTCATGTTGGGTTGGGGAGAAGTATTTAACATATCCTGTATGGAGATTCTGTTTCAAATACTAGATAAACATTCATTTTGGTTTAAATGCACCAAAGTCTTTTGGAGATAAAGAGAATTATGTTGACTTAAATTATTCAGAACTTGTAAAGTAAAGAATTCCCTCGGGACAAAGCATTAGCATGCAGTGACCTTAACAAACCCACAGAGGTCAAACTTTCTGCAATCTCACAACCAAAATAAGAGGAAAATGCTTTTCATTTGAGTTCACCGGGATAAAGACCGTTCTATCTGCTCCTCATCACTCCACCGTGTCCGCGGACCGTCCGGCGTGAGGATAGTCCCGCCTCCCACATTCCATTAACTCCTCTGCCCTCCCCCTCTGACCCCCGACCCTCGTCTTCACCTCTTCTCCATCCTCATGCCGTCAATCACCTGCCACCCCATCCAAAGAGTACACCTCACACTGTGACGACCCCGTGTGTTTATCCTCTGGTAAAAAGACGACACCAGCAAACCACTAACAGTGTGAGCGCGCTGCCTGCTTCTACTCCCGCGCTGCCTGCTTCTACTCCCGTGCTGCCTGCTTCTACTCCCGCGCTGCCTGCTTCTACTCCCGTGCTGCCTGCTTCTACTCCCGCGCTGCCTGCTTCTACTCCCGTGCTGCCTGCTTCTACTCCCGCGCTGCCTGCTTCTACTCCCGCGCTGCCTGCTTCTACTCCCGTGCTGCCTGCTTCTACTCCCGCGCTGCCTGCTTCTACTCCCGTGCTGCCTGCTTCTACTCCCGTGCTGCCTGCTTCTACTCCCGCGCTGCCTGCTTCTACTCCCGCGCTGCCTGCTTCTACTCCCGCGCTGCCTGCTTCTACTCCCGCGCTGCCTGCTTCTACTCCCGCGCTGCCTGCTTCTACTCCCGCGCTGCCTGCTTCTACTCCCGTGCTGCCTGCTTCTACTCCCGTGCTGCCTGCTTCTACTCCCGTGCTGCCTGCTTCTACTCCCGTGCTGCCTGCTTCTACTCCCGCGCTGCCTGCTTCTACGTCGCGCCCTCCTGCTTTCTACTCCCGCGCTGCCTGCTTCTACTCCCCGTGCTGCCTGCTTCTACTCCCGTGGCTGCCTGCTTCTACTCCCGTGCTGCCTGCATCACAAGCGAGACCACGAAGACTCAGGTGATTCCTTGTCCAGTATTTTCCAATGTGTCCATTGGTTCAAACGGTTGTTTTTCCCCATCTGCCGTCTTGTTGACTCGATGTCCCCTCCGCGAGTTTACAAGCTCGTCCAGTCCAACAAGGAGCTTTGTGTCTTTGACTCTCAGGAAACTAAATTGTGGGAATCGAGTCTCAAAGTAGCTCCTGTTTTGAAGGTGGACGATCAACACAGTCCGTCATCGGCTTGTGAAATCATCATTTTTATTTTTCCGTCACTCGATCTAATGATGACTTAGGGCTCGTTGGGATTTTAAGTTACATTTTCTGTGCACGTTGCCGGTTTGTTTTCCAGCCAGCATTGAAATTTATGTTAAACGTAATGTTGTTGGCTTTAAGAATACTGACGCACAGAAAGTGGGATTTCATATTCATTTCCTCTCTACGGAGGCATCTGAAAAGTGTCCCCGTGCCCAGAAATCCAGTCGACAATGACAAAATGCTGGGCTGCATTTTTAATCACAAAGCTTTTCTCCCATCATGACATTTCAATAAAGGCCAGCGGGTGTAAATGAAACGCGGAGACATTCTCGGACAATAACGAAGAAATGCAATTCTCCCTGTCGCGAAAGAGCAGCAATGGAGTCTCGGATGTGTGTGTCTGTGTGTGTGTGTGTGTGTGTGTGTGTGAGGAATAATACACGAAATAGCACCAGGAAATTATACAGGTATAGAAATGTGGGAAGAGGAGACACCACAGAGGAAGAAAAACCAGAGACAAAGAGACAAAGCTGCAGCAGTTTAATCAGAGAGACACGAGGAAACTTCTTGATGTATGCAAACTTATTTCCATTCATCCAAAATGTCACATCGTTTTGATGCGGTGGCCAAAACACACAAAACAAAGGCGGAAGACGAGACTGTGAAAGTGAATGAAGAGTGAACGACAGAGACATGGAGCGAGTTAGAGAAAAGGAGCACAGAAGAAGAGGGGAGGAGGAGAGATGTAGCCAGCGGGGGGGGGAGGGAGGACCCCGGGGGGGGTGGCTGCCCAATCAGAGAAATGTCAGTGCATTAATCAGCTGTTTCCATTAGACAAACAGGCTCAAAGCTTCTTCCACCTGAGAGAAGGAATATTATATTCTGTACGTCTGGCCGGTCGACGGTGGAAATACTGGCAGGAACCTGCTGTGTTCTCAGCATGTGGTCAAAGTCCTCACAGAATTAATAGTCAGACCTTAGCAGTAAGATGCATGTGTTGTGTGTGACTTTGTCTTGTTTTTTTTTTTAATTCCATAACGTTTGAAGCAACAAAAACGTAAATCTAGATCTGTGACGGCTATTGATTGATTTCATTGATCGTCCCGATTCGTCTGCTGCTCTTTCTCTCTCTCTCTCTCTCTGTGCCTCCTCGTTTCCTCAGTCCTCATAACTTTGACCCGGGTATCGGTGGCTTGAAGGATGTCTGAGTTACTAGAACGCAACAGGAAGAGAGAGCCTTTCCTCTCCAGCACTGACGTCTAACAGAGGCCTGACGCACATCTGGAATATGCAAATGTTGTTAACCGAATCAAAAGCAACTATATGTTATCGTTAATGCTGCTTTGCTCATCAGACGGAGATCTACATGTAACATAATATACAAACACAGCTGCACTGTAACCGCACAACGGTGCATCGCTCTGCAATTAATGCCTGGACTCCTCTCTCCTTGTGTGTCTTCCTTACCTCCTCCGCTCGCATCTTAGGAGGGAGGGACTACGGCGCGAGGACAGGAGGTGAGGCAAGGAAACCGAGGATGCACAAACTGAGAAATGAGAAGAGCCCCATTGTCCTCCCCGTGAAACCCGCCGCGTTGTCTCTGTTAACGCCGTGTCCCTCCCTCCCTCCCTCCCCCAGGTCTCCCTCCCCCCTCCGCCGTCGCCCAGAGAGGTTTGAAGGCCAGAGGCAAGCAGAGAGCCGCCGTGCACGTCACACTCCTCGGGGCTAAAGTTAAATAGTTTCCACATTGAGAAGCGAAACGCTGCGTCTGAACCTTTCAGGCATTTCATCAAGTACACACGCGATTAAATACTGCACTCGATCTTCTGTTTATCTGCTGTGAAGGGATTTCAATGTGCTAGTTTTTCAGATGGTGTTTTGTAGGTCACCACCGCTGATGTTTTTGCTCAAGTTTAATTTTACTCATCAAAAAATATCTTGATTATTTCATGAAATCCTAATGTTAATCTTTTTTTTTTTAATTGCATTCTCTTTATTCTATCTAGCTGGTTTTCGTCCAATGAAATCAAGCCCTGCCGAGCCGCCGGTTGAAGTCGCGTCTCAGGAGAGCGCCGATTGGTTGGAGATGATGTGGACCTTTGCAGCCAGCATGGTGGCTCCTGATGATGAGGACGAGGAAGGTATTCAGCAGCTAACTGAACCCCTCACATGTAAGAAAGCAAATCACCTCATGCTGGCTCCACTGACCAAGATAACCAACGCCGTGACATATCTTAGTCATTCACACTGAGTCATGAATGAAACACTTCAGTATTCTATTAATCAGCATGAGAACGTAATGAAAAGTGTGATAATCCACGCTGTGCAGAATGTAATCACTCGCTGACTAACAGAGATGAAACCGATATGATGCCCTTTTCACTTTTAAATTGCGGATATAAATCAGGCATAAAATAAACTTACCATCATCTCCTTTATTCAATCATCAGGACCAACGGCCCATTTTAAACACCGCCAATTAACTGTAGTGAAAACGTGACACTTACCAGTACTTCGGTCACAGCAGGAACTGGAACCGCCGCCAAACGCAGACATTAAGACTTGATTGTGTGCTTGAAATAGATCCCAGCGTGCTCCTCTTCACCAATGAGACAAATAACAAACAGGCCTTTCACAGATAGTCCTAATTTCAACATTTAAATAAAAACGGTTGAGGGAGAGAAGAACTGATCTCCTCTCTGTATCGATCTTCTTGGAGCCTAAATCGATATATTTCTACATTTTAGCCGTTGTGAGTTGTTGTATTATAAACTTAAGAAGCAGTTCATTTTGCAAGGAGGAGGTTCAAGGCCAAAAACAACAGGAGGAAGACAAATAAAAATAATTATGAAGTGACGCAGGAGGCTTCATATTCATTTGTATGGTAATGTCAGTTTGGCGTTTAATATTCATGGCTGCAGTAAGTGGGATTGATCAGAACACCTCGTCTTCTCTTCTGGCCTCCAGCTTTCCACTCCGAGGAGCTCTGAGCAGGAGGAGCGAGGCGGGAGGAAGAAGGGCGACGAGGAAGAGGAGGTCTGGCTGAAGCGGAGGAGAGGATGCAAAGAAACAGAAGGAGGAGGATGGAAGTGTGCTCTTTCTTTCTGACTGTCTGTTAACTGAAAACAATTAACCATGAAATAGTGTAATAAAAAAAGCATCATTTTATCACCGGATCTTAATAAAACTGCACATTCTTTTCTGCATTTGCTCTTTAAAAAGTACTCAGATTTTAAAACTGTGACAATAGACACATTACAAAGTTTCTCTAATTGACTTCATATAACGTTCGACAAACAGCTAAAGGTCCTCAGGTGGAAAGTTAAACAAATGGATTAAAATAAAGACGTTGTAGGACAATCATGATAATAAAAAAGAAATGTAAATGCTTTTTATATTCTTCTTGACTAACTATAACTACCTATGACCTATTGGTCAAAATGTAACCGGCAAAAAGGAAGATTTGAGGAAAAGAATTCTGCCGCCTTTAAATGTTCCTCACAGAAGAATCGCTCGCTTTGTGACTGCGGATAAACGAGGTTACAGGCACTCGATGTTGTGGTTTCATTACTGGTATCAAAATATAAATGGTATTCAATTTCCTCAACGAGATAATGTGATATGATGAGAGCGGCTAATCTTTGAATAATTGACAAAAAATACTGACACACACACACACACACACACACACACACACACACACACACACACACACACACGCCTGCCTTTAGATTCCTGGCAGTAAAAGCAATGAATAATGGATCTTAGTATTTCCTGGCCTCAGGGAGAAGCTTTTAAACATAATTTGTTGCTTTAATTTATTTACACAACCTGGCAACCCGGCCCCTCAGGCTACGGTAGGTACATTAAACAGCACACACACACACACACACAAACACAAACACGCGCACACACACACACACATCCAGAAAGAAACGACTCTTCACCAGGTATGACACATAATCTAGCAGGTCTTTCATGCAAATTCCATCCCGCAGACAATCTGTCGGTTTCACGCGTTCACAAAGAAACATTTGTGGTGCAGAGTGAACAAACCAGCCAGCCGGAAACCATCAATCTCCAGGAAGCTCTTCACAGCTTCATTTTCACCTTGGAAACCTTTTCACAACATTTATTCCACAGAGAGTTGATGGGCGAAGCAGTTACGTGGTGTCACACACACTCCCCCATAGCGGGACCCTGGTAGTTGCGTTGCTTTGTGCGTTGCTTTGTGCGTGGCTCCCGGTGGGAGGAGAGGATATACTCACCTCTTCCTCCGGTGCTTTCTTCTGTGACTTGTTAAGGGTCTTTGCGTTTGTCTGTGCAGCCCCGTGTTGTAGAACACCACAATGTGTGAGATGTAAAACCAGCAACATTGTGATCACGAGACGCGCCGATGAGAAAGACACTAAACGGCATTTTCACTGTGTGGCATTAAGGACTCACACTGTCACTGAGGAACTGAGACGTCCTCAGGGACAAGTATCATCATACTTGACAGGTGAAGAGCAAAGACCTTAGGAAGCTCCACTAATGATGCAGCGGGCCTCCTCTTCTTCCTCCTCTTCCTCCTCTTCCTCTTCTTCTGGGTTGCCAGATTTAGTTCTTAACCCGTCGCCCGTGCTGACAGGATTAGACAGCAGCAGCTGCAGAGGACTGGTTGGGATGCCAGGTCCAGACTGTCGCTACAGCACTGCAACATATGTTCAGTTTTTTTGGGGGGGGGTCTAAGGAAAAGTTTGTGTGTGTGTGTGTGTGTGTGTGTGTGTGTAGGGGGGGTGCATTTTCATCAGGGAGATCTTAGAACTGTCTAATAGACTCCCAACATCCCAACTGTCGAGATTTAACACCCGCCTTGCTCTATTATTCACATTTATTCGTCCTTGCACGTGCAGAAAGTGTCTATTCAGCACCTCGGACAGATGTGACGGGACCCCCACCGGGTTACAGTCGTGTTTTGATTGCGCACGGCGGCCTTTTTAATATCTTCCATCCGGATAATCCCAAACAGATTCCAGGATCAGCGGTGGCACCAACCTTCGATTAAACCCACCGCACGACGAGTCTCATGCTGCCAACGGTCCAGAGCGAGTCCACGGTCCCGCTGAGTGATGATCACAATCAGAACACGCTGTCTGCTCCACCAGATCACACGCGTCACTTATTCCTAAAACCGACCCGACCCTCACTAATAGAGGTTTGTCTGGTTTTATCTCTGCGCCACGGCGGAGAATGAGTGCATTCGTCTGTGTGCACGCGTGCATGCGTGTAGGAAGGGGTCATGTATGGCTTTGTGGTAGAACGCAGCACAGGAAAAGGGAAGTATGGGATGTAAGTATGAATAACTGAATATAATTAGCTGAACTGAATATTACATGAGACCAAAGAACAAACAAGCAGAGCGGATACTGTAAGAGAAACGCGTTCAGAAAGGTGCATCTTTCCGAGTAACCGACTGTATGAGCAGCATCCGTGCAGCTTCATCACATCCCCGCTTTGGGGATCCGTTTTAATCTTGTCAGACGAATTTAATGTCACGGTTCAATCTTAATAAACGCACAGCACGGTGTTCTCTACTTATAACTGGAATAATGAGACGGATACCGTCAAGACTATTTAACATTATAGCCGTGCACAAACAAATTCCACCCCGCTGCCCCCCCACACAGCTCTGTGTAATCTGCTGTTTGCCGGTGAAATGAGAAGGATATTAAATTTCCTCGTGAGGTTCGTCAACGTGAGACGCTCCTTTCACGGCTTGGAAGAGGTAATCTGCTGTCTCCAACAGAGGGATCACACACAACGACAACAACAACAACAACAACAACCCACGCGGACACGCGCCTCCCAAACGCACGTGGACTTTTAAGCGCAAACATTCGCGCGCGCGCAAAGCAGATCTCGCTGCCGCGCGTTTTCTCCCCCCCGGGAAGCTCGGCTCATGCTGTGAAAAATGGCAGTGCGAGAATCGACACACACACACACACACAGCGGAATCCAACCAGCGAGCGATCAGTCGAAGCTCCCACGCCATTTGAAACGGCGTTTACTGAGAAATCGTCTCGCTTTCTTACGGCGCTTTTTGCAGCCTCCCCCCCCTGACTAATAAGCACAAATACACACGTGGGGGTAAGCCGCATGGAGACTTGTGACTGTGATGCTGCTTTTAATTTGCCTTTACTTGAAGAAGTGGCTCCAAAACGTGCGTGACTGAAGGCCTGAGATGTCCGGCGTCCCAGTGAATGCGGGTTCAGTGAACGCATCACGGGCTTCATTCACCAGACGCGTTCCAACCATCTGGAGCTCGGCTGTCGCTCCACGGACGTCTTCTACCCGCCAATCTTCAGCCCCAATGATGCACCACAGTTGATCGTAGATGTGCCGCTGCATGTTTGCTGTATCGGACCCCCCCTCTCCAGGGAGCCCACCCAACCCTCCTCATGCTTAAGTCCTCCGGGCTGCTGCTGCAACATCCCTCCTGGCCCGACTCCCAGAGCACTCTTTAGCCCTTACATCTAGAATCCCTGTCACACACACACACACACACACGCACACACACACGCACTGCAGTCGCTGGGCTGTTTGCATCGAATACAAAACTCTTCTTCTCAGACCTGCAGGCCGCGCGCGCTCTACTTCCAGCACGTCGGCCTGTGATCTGCATTCTGTCGTTAGCTGCCACTTAGCTTCACTCTCCCTGCGGCAGGCTGGTTATCGCTCACCCTCCGCTGCCCCCTCTTCCTCCTCTTCCTCCTCCTCCTCCTCCTCCTCCTCCTCCTCTCTTAAAGGTGGAATAACTTTACTGCAGCCAGATAAGCAGCGGCACCGTTTCCATCACAACACAAGCTCTCTCTTTAATGCATAAATCACCTCTGACCTACATTAAACATCTGTATCTGACATGTAAATACAGAGCAGGAGAGGGAGAGATTTGCATGAGGCAATTGTGTTCAGGGTAGTTGACTTGTAAAAGACAGAAAACAGCACTGACGGGTAAGACTGAAGGAATTAACTCCTCCTCTTCCTCCTCCTCTCCTGGCGACTTCACTCCGGAGGAAGGAAGAGGAGCAGGTGAGTTGATGCTGCTCCACCAGGGAGCATCAGGGGGACGGAGGAGAAGCACCAGCGACTGGCAGATTGAGACGGAACCCAGAGTAAGTGTGATTGATGGTGCAGGCGGAGCTGCAGCTTGATGCAGTTCGTGGGGAAGAAAACGCATTCATGACAAAGAATCAGCAGCTTTTATCTTTAGTGATCCTCTGATGAGTGATGTTCCCATCCTCAGCGGATTTACTTGGATCAGAGACTGAATGAACCATTGAACATAATTTAAAAAGCGTTACTGTGTCGTGTGTCGCCGCGTCAACAGATGACAGCAGGAAGAAGAACAACAACAACAACAGAGTGACAACAAGCCGCCAGTGTTTCTCTGCTGCTGCCTGATCCACCTCCCCAATTCAGCCAGAAAAGTGAGCGTGTGTGTGTGTGTGGGGGGGGGGGGGGGGGTTGGTATTTTATCAAAAAAGTGGCACATTAACTCAAACAAATTCTAACAATCTAATTTTCTAAAAAAGCTGTCAGAATTGCATCCGGTGACTTACACTCACCATCGCTTTAGATTAATTCCCGTCACAACCTTTTGATTTATGAATGCATAATAACTGTGAATAAGTGTGTGTGTGTGTGTGTGTGTGTGTGTGTGTGTGTGTGTGTGTGTGTGTGTGTGTGTCTGTGAGTCCACAAAGCCCTGACTTTTAATCTGGCATGTTGCCTGTGCCTCGATGAGAGAAAATCACATTTTGCAATAATTGAGCGTGTTAAGGGGGGAAGACGCGACTCCTGGCGCGGAGGAGCGTGAGTTGCACCACTGCTTCGCCGTTCCATCTTCCCCTGATCCTGTATCCAGATGCAAGGACGTATTTTTCTCTCGTCTTCTCCGTCTTGGCTTCAGCTTTCTGTCGGGTGTAACATCTCAAAGGTTCTCTGTTGTTGCTGCCGAGATTGCAGAGATTTTCTCTTTTCTTCCCGCTGTGCGTTGAAACGGAAGGTCACCCTTCATTCGCACGGCTGTGGAGAATACGAAAGGCATCCGTGAGACGTTGACTGTCACGAGTCGTTTTATTATTTTACCAAAACGAAATGGATCTTTTGCAATAAATTCTTCATCTGCCTCAAATTGCATTTCATCTTCTATCCCTTTGCCGTTTTGCTGTCTTTCAACTGGATTCCACCTCCCTCGAGGGACGTTATTAGATAAACATCTGCCTCCTCCACTCGTCTCGGGTGGCGTTGCCAAACACACTGTATCAGCCTCAGACTACCGCCCCCACCTGTGGCATCGTCTACCTGCCGTCCTCACCTGCCAGTAACTGAAGTGCACGCAACGAACTTCACAATTAATATGATGTTGTTATCGTGACTCCATCCAAACTACACCGCAGCTCGACGTCTCTCTGATCTCAGCTCATCCGCAAACACGCTGTCGATTCGCTTTGTGTTGACTTTTGTTGGTGCTGCATTCCCAATCAACTGGTAGAGGAGAAGATGGAGCAGGCGGAGGATTTTGGAGCAACTGGGCAAATAAAACGGCGATAGATGGATGGTGCGTTGCTTTTTATTTTACAGGAATCACGGCGGATTTGAAGCCAAATTAGAGAGATTTGTGAAATTGCTGCAGATTTTGTTAAAATCCCCTTACTGGATTTTATTCTGTTTAGTCATTTGGGAAAAAACAATAGTATCATAAATAATTTCATCTTACTCGTGTTATTTAAATTTGTTTAAAAGAAGAACCCGTTTCGTTATCATGTTTTATTCTGGATGCTTTTATTGTGAAAGACGTTTCTCTTGGAAAAATGCATCATAAATAAATCCTCTGCCTCTTACTCAGAATGAAACATGTTTGACTGAATCTTGATCGGCGTGAATGAGATCAGAAAGTGGGCCGAGACGTCTGTTTGGCTCCGTCCTCCAATCCGCTGACGCACTGCAGAGCTGAGAATCCGTCGTCGGGCCAAATCACGGCCGAAAACCTCTCCATTAAGATCCCGTCCTCCCCCGAATCACACTAATGGGCCTGTGATATCCGATCACCATCTTGTGTGTGACGCGAAGGCCCGTGAACCAGCAGTTGGGTTAAACCACTTTTCATTCATTCATCTGTTGAAGCCGGGGAGAGAGTGTGACCCTCGACCCTTCGACCTTCAACCGCTCCGCCAGCCAAGAGACGTTTATTTCTTAAACTGCACTGCAACTTTTAGTTTGCTGTTTTCGTGTTTCAATCAATGTTCTGAACAGCTTCTCTTTTGCTGTAGATTTTGATGGTTTTAATGGTTTTACGTGACGCACTTTGATTACCTTGTTGGGGAATTGTGATAAACAAATAAACCTTCTGTGAATTCACCTTTTTTCTCCCACTGACTTGCATGTCGTTCCACGGAGAGCGACATGTTACGGCGTCAGGTTCAAACCGGTGAAGGACATAAACACAACAGACGAACACCTTACGGACTCACAGACTTGGAGGCGTGCTCCCACTAACTCCGTGAGGGTTTAGTTCTGTCACGCCGCCGAGTGTTTGAGGCTCTCTGGCAGACATTTTGAGCCCTTTATCAACCTTTTCAGTCGGTCGGCGTTGGTTGCTGAGGGAATTACCCAGAATCCATTGCAACGGGACATTTAATACGCGACAACCAGTGAAAGCACGGAGACGTAGAAAAAGGTAAACGAGGAGGAGGACACACGTGTGTTCAGACTGTCACATGAACACATGTCAAAGATTATGGATTAAAGGTGGAAAAAAACAAAATCACTCTATATTTAGTAATTTATTCATCAGATATTTAATTGTGTCATTTTATGAGGAGGAAGCCCGGTAGACACGCTCACATCGGAGAGAAAAACAGATGAAACAAATACCTGCAAAGGTAAATAAAGTACCCGAGGGTTCAGCATTCAGGGGTCAGAGGTCAGGGGTCAGGGCGGGCACCGTGTGACGTGTGCAGGTGGAGATGCTGCAGGCCGCCTATGGAAGCTGCCGCGTGCTGCCCCCTGCTGGCTGCACTGTGGATCCTCTGATTCAGTGACAGGAGTTCAGCTTGAATCCAGCAGATGGCGGAAACGCAACATGTTGAAACTGTAACGACGCGTGAGAAAAACAACCGTCACTCGCAGTTTCACTTTCGTTTTACTGTAAATCGGGGTTGCTGTGAAGACCAGCTTGGAGTAGGAATACAGCACAGATTTCTGATTTTTGCTTTGGTTGGATGATTGACAGCTAACTCTTAACGGTTAAAGGAGATCAACCAATTAATCGAGTCGATCCTCCGTCGTGTGATCGATCGCTTCCTTTGGTTTGACTCGTCTACACAGCTGGTTTGTATCCCGATCTTTCACCAATATGTCACACGGACGAGAGAAAAGACGATCTACCAGAATAATAGAATAATAAATGCTGCTTTTATTCCGCTTTACAGGTGAAGTCATGTCGGGTTTACTGAAGGAAATAGAAGACATCGACAAACCAGCAGCTGATGAGTTGATGAGTTAGTGACCTTTTGTTTATTGACGAGGATTAGATAATAAAAACAGTTTGTTGTTTCACTTTTATAAGATGACTGTTGAGCTCACGTTTAAATGTTGAGTTTCCATCTTTAGTCATTCTGTGTCGTTGTTGCAGACGCTGATTTACAAAGTGACTCAGACATTCAGGCCCTGACTGAAGACGACCTGCGCGACCTGCTTCCAGGACCTGAGAATATTAAACGCAGAAAGGCCAATTATGACACAATCCACAGCCAGGTGAGCTAACAAGTGGGATGAGAGAGGGACTAGAACACAGATGACTGATAACTGTTGTCTAAGATGTTTGTAAAACGTATTGTGTTTCTTTCCACAGCCAATGGAGCAGCAGAAGCTGGAGGCGTCTTTGACAGGTCTGCACGGCCCTACTTTCACTTTCCCCTCTGACAACCATTTTGTTAGTTTGGACTATAACAATATATGCAATATATGTGACTTTGTTAATATTATACAAGGAAGAAACGTCCCCCTTTTCTGGGATCGTTTACCCAAATTGTGAATGAATAAAGATTAAACATTCTCATTGGTTATTACCTAACCCACTAGAATAAATAGGCGTGTTGAACGTGTTGCTGCAGGTTCTTCTAAAGAAGTTGGAAGAATATTTGAGTAAATCACATCAACTCGCATGTGACATTTTTCATATGGAGGCATCCTTCTGGTGAAGTCTTCTCTTATTTAATTTAAATTTTCTCCCGACGGAAGACACTTTTTATTATAAAATATGTAATACATGTGGATAATGCTATAATGATGATGTATAAATGCTAATGTGGCTCTGTGATCAGTCAGCACAGCTTGTGTTCCTCATGTCTTCAGTGTCTGTGGCCTTCTGGTTGCAGAGTAAACATCTGTCAACTCTGCTAAACAATTGGTGTTAAGTTAATATGGTTCATTTTTTGAAGTCAGTAATTACATAATGCTGTTTTTCTAACAGAGTCCGGGTCACATGTGAGTCCTTCGGCCAGCGATCATCCTGAGGAGCTCCAGATTACTCCAAGTGATGGCCGTCCACAAGCAGCACCAGGTGAAGCTTCCTCTCGCTCCTGTTAATGAACAGTATCCAGTAAATAATGTACAATACATTTTACAATACAATACAGTGAGATCATCTGCACATTTCATGTTACAGACTCTTCGGCAGGTTCAGGAACCTCAAACAGCGTTTTTGGATCAAGGGAATATTCTGGCCCGCATAATCACAACACAAAACAACGTAAATATAATCTTCTTCCTCCTCGCACATTCATGTTTTCATGTTAATATTTGTTTGTGTCCACATCTGCTCCTTCAATGCACTTCATTTGTTTGAGCACTGTGATTGTTTGGCTGAACATAATTGATCTTTAGTACCTTCCATGTCTGACGTTCCCTCTATCCACACATTTAAATACAGTTATGCTCTTGATGAGGAAATACCTTTTAATCCAGGGAACGGGATCATACACAAAGCCCCCAGTGGAGTGTTAAAGGTTCACTGTTATAAGGGTTAGTGTGTCCAAAATCCATTGTTGCATCATTGTGCTTCTCCTTACAACTGTCATTTTCACAAATCTTTTTTAATGGAAAACCCAAAGTGAACGCCGTCCACAAGCAGCACCAGGTGAAGCTTCCTCTATTCTACTCTTCGTCTCTTGTTTAGTGAGTTTTTTCCACTTTGAGGTTCCGTTATAACTCAACATGATGATCTCTTTCGTTGTTACACTTTCATGACATATAAAGTCAATCTCATTCTCATGTTGGTTTATTTCTACAACACAAACTTAACCGTGTGATACCAAAATACTGTTTCATTTAATCATTTTAAAGAGTGAATTAAATCATACGCAATACATTTCATTTTAACTCGGGAAAAAGGGGAGAGCGCTTTTGGAGCCGAGTTTTCACCAGAAAAAACATTGTTAAGTTTTTATATTGAGTGTGGCCAGCGAAGCTCCTTATAATCTCTCGGGCTTCTTTGCCTTAAATTAGATTAGATTAGATTAGATTCAACTTTATTGTCATTGCACAGGGTACTGAGGCAACGAAATGCAGTTTAACATCCAACCAGAAGTGCAAAGTAGCAAAAAGTGCAGAGTCTGTGCATATGTAAAGTGTAATAAGTGAATACATAGATATGTACAGTAAGAAATAGTTGTGCAATATGAACAGTAAGGAATCAGGAATCAGGAAACATTTATTAGCCAAAATATGTCAAACATACAAGGAATTTGTCTTGGCGGTTAGTGCGCGACAGTAGACAGACAAGACAGCAGTGCACAAGTAATAAAATAAAGTGGAATGAAATGCTAGTGCAATGGGTTAGTAAGAATAAGGCTAAGGCTATGGGTTAGTATAAAACAAGGGAATAAAGTTAAAAAATGTTAAATATTAAAAAGTTAAAGAAAAGTATTAAGCATAAAGTGCACTAACAAACAAGTAACAGACAAGAGACAAAGTGACAAGTGACAAAGTGATGAATTGCAGTTAAAGTGGCGTGTGCAGTATGAGGGGGAGTGACCGGTGGAGTGTATAGTCAGTCAGTGGGGGACCGGCTCTGTTGATGAGCCCGACTGCCGACGGGAAGAAAACTGTTCGTGTGGCGGGAGGTCGTAGTCCTGATGGACCTCAGCCTCCTGCCAGATGGAAGGGGCACAAACAGTTTTTGTCCGGGGTGAGAGGGGTCGGCCGTGATCTTTTTAGCTCGCTTCAGAGACCTGGAAGCGAACAAGTCCTGCAGGGACGGCAGATTGCAGCCGATCAGCCTCTCTGCAGAGCAAATGACACACTGCAGCCTGCCCTTGTCCTTGGCTGTGGCTGCAGCGTACCAGACGGTGATGGAGGAGCAGAGGATGGACTCCATGATGGCCGTGTAGAAGTGGACCATCATCGTCTTTGGCAGGTTGAGTTTCTTCAGCCGCCTCAGGAAGCTGGAGGATGGATATACAATGGATATACAATAACAGTGCAAATGTTCAGTGGCTGGAGGAAGGTGTGTGGCAGTCAAGCCAGGGAGGAGGGGGGGAGTACAGTCACTGAGGGAGATGTGTGTGTGGGGGGGCAGAGTTCAGTAGACTGACAGCCGCAGGGATGAAGCTGTTCCTGAACCTGCTGGTCCGGGAACGGAGCACCCTGTAGCGCCTCCCAGAAGGGAGGAGGGCAAACAGTCTGTGGCTGGGGTGAGAGCTGCGTGCCCTCCGCAGACATCTCTTGCTCTGGACGGCCTTGATGGTGGCGAGTGAGGAACCGGTGATGCGTTTGCCGGTTTTCACCACCCTCTGCAGTGGTTGAAGTGAAGCTGGCGACACGCTCAACCTCCGTCCCGTTGATGTGGATGGGGATGTGTGTGCCAGTTTTCTTCCGGAAGTCCACAATTAGCTCTTTGGTCTTCTTGGTGTTGAGGGCCAGGTTGTTGTCGGCGCACCACACCGCCAGGTGCTGGACCTCCTCTCTGTAGGCCGACTCATCGTTGTCACTGATGAGGCCAATCACTGTTGTGTCGTCTGCAAACTTGACAATGGTATTAGAACCAGTACAGATGTGCAGTTGTAGGTGAAGAGGGAGTAGAGGAGAGGACTTAGCACACAGCCTTGTAGCACGCCGGTGTTCAGCATGGGGGTTGAGGAGGTGTGGTTCTCTACCCTAACAGACTGGGGTCTGTTGGATAGGAAGTCCAGTATCCAGTTACAGAGGGAAGTGTTGATACCCAGGTGACTGAGTTTCGTGATTAGTTTGGAGGGGATGACAGTGTTGAAAGCTGAACTGAAGTCTATGAATAGCATCCTCACATAGCTGTGGTTATTGCCCAGGTGAGAAAGGGCGGAGTGTAATGCCGAGGAGATGGCATCCTCTGTACTCCTGTTCTTGCGGTAGGCGAATTGGAAGGGGTCCAGTGTGGGTGGCAAGCAGGTTTTGAGGTGAGCCAGGACCAGCTTCTCCAAGCGCTTCATGATGGTTGGAGTGAGTGCAACTGGGCGGAAGTCATTTAGGCTCACTGCGGTGGAGTGCTTTGGCACTGGCACGATGGAGGTGGTTTTAAATCACCTGGGGACAGTAGCTTGGGCTAGTGACAGGTTGAATATGTCAGTCAGGACCTCAGCTAGCTGCCCAGCACAGGCCCTGATGGCGTCCCCGGACAGCCATCGACACACGTCGGTAGAGGAGAGTGTGAGGGGCTGGTGGTCTGAAGTGAGCACAGCCTTGATGGCGGCCTCCTGCTTGTCCCTGTCGAAGCGTGCATAAAAGCTGTTGAGCTCGTCAGGGAAGGAGGCATCATTGTTTTGGGGGGTGGTGTTGGTGGGTTTCTAGTCTGTTATGGCCTGGATGCCTTGCCACATGCGACGGGGGTCGGAGTTGTTCTCCTCAATCCTTTGCTTATTCTTTTCCGTACAAAAGTTTGGCACGCATCTCCTCCCGCCACGTTGGTGGGAATTGCCTCAAAATAGTCTCAAACTGTCGGTACAGATCCGCTTAACGTGTGCCATTATCTGGCTAAGAGAAATGACCAAGAAAAGTCTCCATAGCGCCCCCTAGAAAGTTGAAAAGTACCACACTAGGCCAGTTTTTTTCCCGATGCCCGATTGACTGGAAATTTGGCACACATATGCTCTTGGACATGCTCTACAGAAGAGTCAATCATGGTATGCAAATGCGCCTAACTAGATTTTCCACCATTTTGAATATTGTGAAAAACACGTTTTTGACCATTTCTCCAAAAGGCTATGTCCGATTGTCACGAAACCTTCTGTGGATCATTATTGGGTCAATGTCCCCCCGTCCCCCATCAGGATCGTGTTGGTATCTCATTGTTTTGAGAAGATATGGGCTAATGAACTTCGCAAGGGGTGTGGCTTAATCTGGCAAGACTCGTAACTTCCAAATGCTTTGGCCTGCCCTCACCAAACTTGTAACACGTGTGAACATTGAACACACCCTAATTTTATGAGAATATTTCAAGAATAGAGCGCGCTGCAATTAATCGTTGATTAAAAAGTGGTCTCGTGCTCCATTGGTATGGATGGAGTAGTGTTGTTAGATGAGTGCTTAGGCATTCCACTCTAAACGTGGGAGACCCGGGATCGATTCCCACATGTCATTATGTTGTTGTTTTTTTCGTTTTAATGCAAGTCTAGCTGACGTTACAGTGGCAACGTGGGGAGGGGGGGGACAATAGGCGGGGGGTGCTAGCATGACACTAGCTAGCATTGCACTAGTAATAGCAGGATCTAACTGCTGACAAGTGGCTACAAAAAGACAATACAGTCAATGGCAGCGGAAGGGGGCAAGGCACGAACGTTACGGCAGGGGCGGGGCGACGATACGGCCAACGTCGGAGGGGCGGGGGTACGGCGAGGAGGGCGCTAGCATGGCGCTGACATGGCGCTAGCTAACATTGCACTAGTGATAGCAGGATCTAACTGCTGACACGTGGCTAAAACAGCCAGAGAATATCGAGGGGGGGGGGACAATACGGCCGACAGCTAACTCTTAACTGTTAAAGGAGATCAACCAATTAATCAAGTCGATCCTCCGTCGTGTGATCGATCACTTCCTAATAGAATAATAAATGCTGCTTTTATTCCGCTTTACAGGTGAAGTCATGTCGTGTTTACTGAAGAAAATAGAAGACATCTACAAACCAGCAGCTGATGAGTTGATAAGTTAGTGACCTTTTGTTTATTGACGAGGATTAGATAATAAAAACTATTTGTTGTTTCACTTTTATAAGATGACTGTTGAGCTCACGTTTAAATGTTGAGTTTCCATCTTTAGTCATTCTGTGTCGTTGTTGCAGACGCTGGTTTACAAAGTGACTCAGACATTCAGGCCCTGACTGAAGACGACCTGCGCGACCTGCTTCCAGGAATTAAGAATATAAAACGCAGAAGGGCCATTAATGACCTAATCCACAGCCAGGTGGGCTAACAAGTGGGATGAGAGAGGGACTAGAACACAGATGACTGATAACTGTTGCCTAAGATGTTTGTAAAACGTATTATTTTTCTTTCCACAGCCAATGGAGCAGCAGAAGCTGGAGGCGTCTTTGACAGGTCTGCACGGCCCTACTTTCACTTTCCCCTCTGACAACCATTTTGTTAGTGTGGACTATAACAATATATGCAATATATGTGACTTTAATATTATACAAGGAAGAAACGTCCCCCTTTTCTGGGATCGTTTACCCCAATTGTGAATGAATAAAGATTAAACATTCTCATTGGTTATTACCTAACCCACTAGAATAAATAGGCAGCGCACAGATGTTGACATTGATTTGTCTGTAAGTGCATCAAATAATGCAGCGTCGTCAAGGCCGTTGCTAGAACGTGTTGCTGCTGGTTCTTCTAAAGAAGTTGGAAGAATATTTGAGTAAATCACATCAACTCAGATGTGACATTTTTCATATGGAGGCATCCTTCTGGTGAAGTGTTCTTATTTAAATATTGTTTTCATGTTAATATTTGTTCGTGTCCACATCTTCTCCTTCAATGCACTTCATTTGTTTGAGCACTGTGATTGTTTGGCTGAACATAATTGAGCTTTAATACCCTCTATGTCTGACGTTCCCTCTATCCACACATTTCAATACAGTTATCCTCTTGATGAGGAAATACCTTTTAATCCAGGGAACGGGATCATACACAAAGCCTCCAGTGGAGTGTTAAAGGTTCACTGTTATAAGGGTTAGTGTATCCAAAATTGTCAGGGGTGGGGGTGGAAGGCAGGACTCAAAATGCAGACTTGCAGGAACAGAAGGACTTTAATAGTGAAAAATCCAAAATGGGCAAAAACACACAGGCATGAACCTACGGCTATCCACAACAAGAGAGAAGAACATGCGTGGCGAAAGACAATGACGCGACCAGTGACACAAGAGACACACGGCTTAAATACACAAGGGAGGTGCAGGTGATTGGACACAGGTGGAAACTATTAGACGATCACAGTGGATGACGGGACAAGGCAGGAAGTGAAGTTACCCGGGGACACGAGTGGCAGAAAACTACAAAATACAACAGGAAGTGAACCACACCGTGACAGTACCCCCCCCTTAAGGGCCTAATTCCAGATGGCCAACACTAGAGCGAACAAGGCGTGGGTGGGGGAGGGGAAACCAGAGACGTTGGTCGGACCACCCCGGGAAACTCTGGCGGGCGGCTCGACGAGCGGGAAGCCCCTGGGGTCTGCTCGGCCGTTGGTCACCAAGCCAGCTCCGGAGTGGCGACTGCAGTGCACGAAATCTCTCAGGAATGGGAGGCTCTGAGACACGGGATACCTCCGGGGTCGGCAGCGGCGGCGGCTCGGGGACACGGGAAACCTCCGCGGTAGTCGGCGGCGGCTCGGGGACACGGGAAACCTCCGCGGTAGTCGGCGGCGGCTCGGGGACACGGGCAACCTCCGCGGTAGTCGGCGGCGGCTCGGGGACACGGGCAACCTCCGCGGTAGTCGGCGGCAGCTCGGGCACACGGGAAACCTCCGCGGTAGTCGGCGGCAGCTCGGGCACACGGGAAACCTCCGCGGTAGTCGGCGGCAGCTCGGGCACACGGGAAACCTTCGCGGTTGTCGGCGGCAGCTCGGGCACACGGGAAACCTCCGCGGTTGTCGGCGGCAGCTCGGGGACACGGGAAACCTCCGCAGTCGTCGTCGGCAGCTCGGGGACACGGAACACCTCCGCAGTCGGCGGCTCAGCCCCCCCCATAACCCACCCCGTAGCCCCCCCCTCAAGGGCCGGATCCCAGACGGCCCTCAAATCACCCACGGGAGGGTGGGAGAGGACCATGGGATGGGAGGGAGGGAGCCTGAGTCTCAGAGCGGGGACTGGGGGCATGGTTCGTGGGGCCGGTACCGGGGTCGGGACTGAGAGTCTCGGAGCGGGGACTGGCCGAGTCTGTGTCGGGACTGAGAGTCTCGGAACGGGAGATCGCTGCGGCGGCCCAGCGGGAAATCGCTGCGGCGGCCCAACGGGAGATCGCTGCGGCGGCCATCGCTGCGGCGGCCCAGCGGGAGATCGCTGCGGCGGCCATCGCTGCGGCGGCCCAGCGGGAGATCGCTGCGGCGGCCCAGCGGGAACGGGAGATTGCTTCGGCGGCCCAGCGGGAACGGGAGATCGCTTCGGCGGCCCAGCGGGAAGTCTGTTCTTCCTCTGGCCAGGGCTCCTCTTAGGATTAAGGAGGTCCCGGAGCTCGAGGCAGGCGAGCTGATAGCTCCTGAGACCAAAAACACAATTTGTTTTCCGCTGCCAGAAGGGACTTCTTACGTCCAGGTAGTCCGGACCGTAGTCTGGCAGCGGGTCTGCTGAGCCCTTCTTGGGTCGCGTCATTCTGTCAGGGGTGGGGGTGGAAGGCAGGACTCAAAATGCAGACTTGCAGGAACAGAAGGACTTTAATAGTCAAAGGTCAAAAATCCAAAATGGGCAAAAACACACAGGCATGAACCTACGGTTATCCACAACAAGAGAGAAGAACATGCGTGGCAAAAGACAATGACGCGACCAGTGACACAAGAGACACACGGCTTAAATACACAAGGGAGGTGCAGGTGATTGGACACAGGTGGAAACTATTAGACGATCACAGGGGATGACGGGACAAGGCAGGAAGTGAAGTTACCCGGGGACACGAGTGGCAGAAAACTACAAAATACAACAGGAAGTGAACCACACCGTGACAAAAATCCATTGTTGCATCATTCTGCTTCTCCTTACAACTGTCATTTTCACAAATCTTTTTTAATGGAAAACCCAAAGTGAACGCCGTCCACAAGCAGCACCAGGTGAAGCTTCCTCTCTTCCACACAATAATAAATGCTGCTTTTATTCCGCTTTACAGGTGAAGTCATGTCGGGTTTACTGAAGAAAATAGAAGACATCTACAAACCAGCAGCTGATGAGTTGATAAGTTAGTGACCTTTTGTTTATTGACGAGGATTAGATAATAAAAACAATTTGTTGTTTCACTTTTATAAGATGACTGTTGAGCTCACGTTTAAATGTTGAGTTTCCATCTTTAGTCATTCTGTGTCGTTGTTGCAGACGCTGGTTTACAAAGTGACTCAGACATTCAGGCCCTGACTGAAGACGACCTGCGCGACCTGCTTCCAGGAATTAAGAATAAGAGACGCAGAAAGGCCATTTATGACCTAATCCACAGCCAGGTGAGCTAACAAGTGGGATGAGAGAGGGACTAGAACACAGATTACTGATAACTGTTGTCTAAGATGTTTGTAAAACGTATTGTGTTTCTTTCCACAGCCAATGGAGCAGCAGAAGCTGGAGGCGTCTTTGACAGGTCTGCACGGCCCTACTTTCACTTTCCCCTGACAACCATTTTGTTAGTTTGGACTATAACAATATATGCAATATATGTGACTTTGTTAATATTATACAAGGAACAAACGTCCCCCTTTTCTGGGATCGTTTACCCAATTTGTGAATAAATAAAGATTAAATATTCTCCGGCCCCACTCCGGCTGGGCCATGACAAAGTGCATCAAACAATTAATGCGGCGTCGTCAAGGCCGTTACTAGGACGTCTTGCTGCAGGTTCTCCTCTGCAGTCATTTTCTAAAGATCAAGTTAAGTTGGAAGAATATTTGAGTAAATTACATCAACTCAGATGTGACATTTGTCATATGGAGGCGTCCTTCTGGTGAAGTCTTCTCTTATTTAAATTAGATTTCCACACGACGGAAGAAACTTCTTTTTTCAAATATGTAATACATTGAATATTGACGGAAAGAATACAAGTTAAATGTTCTGTCATGATTAAAAATAAATGCTTTTGTGGCACATCTTGTGTTCAGCATGTCTTTACAGGGACACTGAATGTATCATTCAACTTTCATCTTTGTCATTGTTTTTCTGAACTATGCATCAAACATATTTAAAGAATGATTATATTTTACTGTTCTTGTAAATGTATTAATCTGTTTCACACTCACAGCCATTTCTCTTTCTACAGCCACGTCGTACAAGATGGTTGTCGGCGGTAAAACGTTTGACGCCCACCTGACGCTGATGGAGAAAATAAAGAAACAAGTTCAGAATCAGATCCAGAGTTGTGAAGACGATGCAGACAACCACTCGGTCACTTTTGTCTTCTGTCCCATCAGTTCACGCGTTGCGTCAGACGTTGAGGCAGCCATGTCTGATGTTAAAGGTGAGGGAAGGATTTTTTCAGCCTTTTTTAATATTGAAATGGGAATTATCGCTTTTTTCATTTTAACAGAATTTTGAATAAGAAAGTTGTTTTCGACAAATAATCAAAGTTTAGTAGTGAACTTATTGATGTGTTGGTAAAGGATGATCTTTTGCTAACGTCTCTCTCTTGTTGTGCTCAGATGATAAACCGGTCATTCTGGTGTTGATGCACCACACACACCAAGTCAAGGCAACGTCAACTATGAAAACATGGGATGTTCACGCCAATGTTGTGTTGCATGTCAACGTTTTCTACCATGAGACACGTGGATTACTGCAGTGTGATGAAAATGATGCTGCTGTCACTGAGATACAAAACAAATTACTGGACACCTTCATCCCGAAAAGTAGCATAACCAGTGGAAATGCCCACATTGTGCCGGCTGAAGGTGGTGTGACTGACTATGTACTTGGTCTTTACCAAAGCGCTAAAAGTTATATATGGTAATAAGCATATTTAGCAGTGTTGGTAATCGTATTGTTTCAGCTGATGCAGTGGATAGCATCAACTGATTCATTTAGACCATTTGCGAACTGCAGAACACATTATTTTATCCTTCTTAGTAAAATCTATCTCAGCAACTGATCCAACGATAATTGTTTTTTTTGTAGTCACGGATTTAAATAGCAAAATGAGTTATCTGCACAGTAAGTGCTGTTAAATTTCTAAATATTTATCCAGTTACGTGTGTTAACAATGTTTCAACTCAATTATTCATCCAAAATGTATAGATTTAAGGGAAATTAATGTTGAAATTAATATTTGAGCAGCAATTGAACATCAGACTTAACATTAAATAATAATCAATCTATTCAAATAAAATAGTAAAAGTAAATAAAGATTCAATATAAACATAATGCTGGCTTCCTCATATTTAATTGTGTTGTTGAAAGTGTAAAGTGTGATGACTAATACTCCTTGTACTCTCTAATAAATGGTGTGTTTGATCATATAATCTGTGGGCCTTTTTCCTGTCATTGTAATTATGATTAAATACCATCTATCATCTATTCAACGTACACAGTGTAACAATAGTCTGTACATTTTATAATAAAAATTGAATAAATACCTTCAGTCATAAATAAAGTCCCTGAGGGGTCAGAGGTCAGGGGTCAGGGGGGGCACTGTGTGCCGTGTGCAGGTGGAGATGCTGCAGGCCGCCTATGGAAGCTGCCGCGTGCTGCCCCCTGCTGGCTGCACTGTGGATCCTCTGATTCAGTGACAGGAGTTCAGCTTGAATCCAGCAGATGGCGGAAACGCAACATGTTGAAACTGTAACGACGCGTGAGAAAAACAACCGTCACTCGCAGTTTCACTTTCGTTTTACTGTAAATCGGGGTTGCTGTGAAGACCAGCTTGGAGTAGGAATACAGCACAGATTTCTGATTTATGCTTTGGTTGGATGATTGACAGCTAACTCTTAACGGTTAAAGGAGATCAACCAATTAATCGAGTCGATCCTCCGTCGTGTGATCGATCGCTTCCTTTGGTTTGACTCGTCTACACAGCTGGTTTGTATCCCGATCTTTCACCAATATGTCACACGGACGAGAGAAAAGACGATCTACCAGAATAATAGAATAATAAATGCTGCTTTTATTCCGCTTTACAGGTGAAGTCATGTCGGGTTTACTGAAGGAAATAAAACGCATCGACAAACCAGCAGCTGATGAGTTGATAAGTTAGTGACCTTTTGTTTATTGACGAGGATTAGATAATAAAAACTATTTGTTGTTTCACTTTTATAAGATGACTGTTGAGCTCACGTTTAAATGTTGAGTTTCCATCTTTAGTCATTCTGTGTCGTTGTTGCAGACGCTGATTTACAAAGTGACTCAGACATTCAGGCCCTGACTGAAGACGACCTGCGCGACCTGCTTCCAGGACCTGAGAATAAGAGACGCAGAAGGGCCATTTATGACCTAATCCACAGCCAGGTGAGCTAACAAGTGGGATGAGAGAGGGACTAGAACACAGATGACTGATAACTGTTGTCTAAGATGTTTGTAAAACGTATTGTGTTTCTTTCCACAGCCAATGGAGCAGCAGAAGCTGGAGGCGTCTTTGACAGGTCTGCACGGCCCTACTTTCACTTTCCCCTCTGACAACCATTTTGTTAGTTTGGACTATAACAATATATGCAATATATGTGACTTTGTTAATATTATACAAGGAACAAACGTCCCCCTTTTCTGGGATCGTTTACCCAAATTGTGAATGAATAAAGATTAAACATTCTCATTGGTTATTACCTAACCCACTAGAATAAATAGGCATTGCACGGATGTTGACATTGATTTGTCTGTAAGTTGTGAGCGCCCGACCTCGCGGGGTAGGCCAAGCGGTCCCAGGGGAGAAGAGAGGCGGACAACAAGCAGGATTACGGTGGAATTAACCAAGGTTTATTATCAAAAAAAATGCAAAGGGGAGAGGAGGAAGAAGGGTGAGAAAACGATAACTCAAGAGTTCTTCACCGGGGTGGCCAGGGACATCGGGGCTTCGCCAGATTCCTCCTGGTGCAGAAGAGAGAGAGTATATTTAGTTAGACTCCTTTTGCTGCGCAACATCCCTGGGTCTTACTCTCCTTGCGTTCCGACTGTCCCGCTCGCTTCCTCCCCTGTGTGTCCTGGGAGGAAGGTTTAAAACAGGCTCCTGATTGCCTGCGTGATTACTGACACCTGGGAGGGGAACTCAGTGACACCTGGGGTAGTACCGCCCTTCCATTACCCTGCCTCTTGGTGGCCCTCTCCTGGCTGTTTGTCGCCACGTGGGGCATCACAAAGTGCATCAAACAATTAATGCGGCGGCGTCAAGGCCGTTACTAGGACGTGTTGCTGCAGGTTCTCCTCTGCAGTCATATTTTAAAGATCAAGTTAAGTTGGAAGAATATTTGAGTAAATCACATCAACTCGGATGTGACATTTGTCATATGGAGGCGTCCTTCTGGTGAAGTGTTCTCTTATTTAAATGAGATTTCCACACGACGGAAGAAACTTCTTTTTCCAAATATGTAATACATTGAATATTGACGGAAAGAATACAAGTTAAATGTTCTGTCATGATTAAAAATAAATGCCTTTGTGGCACAGCTTGTGTTCAGCACGTCTTCACAGGGACACTGAATGTATCATTCAACTTTCATCTTTGTCATTGTTTTTCTGAACTATGAATCAAATATATTTGAAGAATGATTATATTTTACTGTTCTTGTAAATGTATTAATCTGTTTCACACTCACAGCCATTTCTCTTTCTACAGCCACGTCGTACAAGATGGTTGTCGGCGGTAAAACGTTTGACACCCACCTGACGCTGATGAAGAAAATAAAGAAACAAGTTCAGAATCAGATCCAGAGTTGTGAAGACGATGCAGACAACCACTCGGTCACTTTTGTCTTCTGTCCCATCAGTTCATGCGTTGCGTCAGACGTTGAGGCAGCCATGTCTGATGTTAAAGGTGAGGGAAGGATTTCATTTGGATAGAATTTTGAATAAGAAAGTTCTTTTTGACAAATAATCAAAGTTTAGTAGTGAACTTATTGTGTTGGTAAAGGATGATCTTTTGCTAACGTCTCTCTCTTGTTGTGCTCAGATGATAAACCTGTCATTCTGGTGTTGATGCACCACACACACCAAGTCAAGGCAACGTCAACTATGAAAACATGGGATGTTCACGCCAATGTTGTGTTGCATGTCAACGTTTTCTACCATGAGACACGTGGATTACTGCAGTGTGATGAAAATGATGCTGCTGTCACTGAGATAGGAAACAAATTACTGAAGCGCTTCAACCTGAAAAGTAGCATAACCAGTGGAAATGCCCACATTGTGCCGGCTGAAGGTGGTTGGATTGAATACGTACTTGATTTTTACCAAAGGGCTACAAGTTATAAATGGTAATAAGCATATTTAGCAGTGTTGGTAATCGTATTGTTTCAGCTGATGCAGTGGATAGCATCAACTGATTCATTTAGACCATTTGCCAACTGCAGAACACATTATTTTATCCTTCTTAGTAAAATCTATCTCAGCAACTGATCTAACGATAATTGTTTTTTTCGCTGTCACGGATTTAAATAGCAAAATGAGTTATCTGCACAGTAAGTGCTGTTAAATTTCTAAATATTTATCCAGTTACGTGTGTTAACAATGTTTCAACTCAATTATTCATCCAAAATGTATAGATTTAAGGGAAATTAATGTTGAAATTAATATTTGAGCAGCAATTGAACATCAGACTTAACATTAAATAATAATCAATCTATTCAAATAAAATAGTAAAAGTAAATAAAGATTCAATATAAACATAATGCTGGCTTCCTCATATTTAATTGTGTTGTTGAAAGTGTAAAGTGTGATGACTAATACTCCTTGTACTCTCTAATAAATGGTGTGTTTGATCATATAATCTGTGGGCCTTTTTCCTGTCATTGTAATTATGATTAAATACCATCTATCATCTATTCAACGTACACAGTGTAACAATAGTCTGTACATTTTATAATAATAATTGAATAAATACCCTCAGTCATAAATAAAGTCCCTGAGGGGTCAGAGGTCAGGGGTCAGGGGGGCACTGTGTGACGTGTGCAGGTGGAGATGCTGCAGGCCGCCTATGGAAGCTGCCGCGTGCTGCCCCCTGCTGGCTGCACTGTGGATCCTCTGATTCAGTGACAGGAGTTCAGCTTGAATCCAGCAGATGGCGGAAACGCAACATGTTGAAACTGTAACGACGCGTGAGAAAAACAACCGTCACTCGCAGTTTCACTTTCGTTTTACTGTAAATCGGGGTTGCTGTGAAGACCAGCTTGGAGTAGGAATACAGCACAGATTTCTGATTTTTGCTTTGGTTGGATGATTGACAGCTAACTCTTAACGGTTAAAGGAGATCAACCAATTAATCGAGTCGATCCTCCGTCGTGTGATCGATCGCTTCCTCTCTCCTTCCTTTGGTTTGACTCGTCTACTCAGCTGGTTTGTATCCCGATCTTTCACCAATATGTCACACGGACGAGAGAAAAGACGACCTACCAGAATAATAGAATAATAAATGCTGCTTTTATTCCGCTTTACAGGTGAAGTCATGTCGGGTTTACTGAAGGAAATAAAACGCATCTACAAACCAGCAGCTGATCGGTTGATGAGTTAGTGACCTTTTGTTTATTGACGAGGATTAGATAATAAAAACAGTTTGTTGTTTCACTTTTATAAGATGACTGTTGAGCTCACGTTTAAATGTTGAGTTTCCATCTTTAGTCATTCTGTGTCGTTGTTGCAGACGCTGGTTTACAAAGTGACTCAGACATTTAGGCCCTGACTGAAGACGACCTGCGCGACCTGCTTCCAGGAATTAAGAATATTAAACTTAGAAGGGCCATTTATGACCTAATCCACAACCAGGTGAGCTAACAAGTGGGATGAGAGAGGGACTAGAACACAGATTACTGATAACTGTTGTCTAAGATGTTTGTAAAACGTATTCTGTTTCTTTCCACAGCCAATGGAGCAGCAGAAGCTGGAGGCGTCTTTGACAGGTCTGCACGGCCCTACTTTCACTTTCCCCTGACAACCATTTTGTTAGTTTGGACTATAACAATATATGCAATATATGTGACTTTGTTAATATTATACAAGGAACAAACGTCCCCCTTTTCTGGGATCGTTTACCCAAATTGTGAATGAATAAAGATTAAACATTCTCATTGGTTATTACCTAACCCACTAGAATAAATAGGCGTGTTGAACGTGTTGCTGCAGGTTCTTCTAAAGAAGTTGGAAAAATATTTGAGTAAATCACATCAACTCGCATGTGACATTTTTCATATGGAGGCATCCTTCTGGTGAAGTCTTCTCTTATTTAATTTAAATTTTCTCCCGACAGAAGAAACATATTTTTATAAAATCTGTAATACATGTGGATAATGCTATGATGATGATGTATAAATGCTAATGTGGCTCTGTGATCAGTCAGCACAGCTTGTGTTCCTCACGTCTTCAGTGTCTGTGGCCTTCTGGTTGCAGAGTAAACATCTGTCAACTCTGCTAAACAATTGGTGTTAAGTTAATATGGTTCATTTTTTGAAGTCAGTAATTACATAATGCTGTTTTTCTAACAGAGTCCGGGTCACATGTGAGTCCTTCGGCCAGCGATCATCCTGAGGAGCTCCAGATTACTCCAAGTGATGGCCGTCCACAAGCAGCACCAGGTGAAGCTTCCTCTCGCTCCTGTTAATGAACAGTATCCAGTAAATAATGTACAATACATTTTACAATACAATACAGTGAGATCATCTGCACATTTCATGTTACAGACTCTTCGGCAGGTTCAGGAACCTCAAACAGCGGTTTTGGATCAGGGGAATATTCTGGCCCGGATAATCCCGACACAAAACGTAAATATAATCTTCTTCCTCCTCGCACATTCATGTTTTCATGTTAATATTTGTTTGTGTCCACATCTTCTCCTTCAATGCACTTCATTTGTTTGAGCACTGTGATTGTTTGGCTGAACATAATTGATCTTTAGTACCTTCTATGTCTGACGTTCCCTCTATCCACACATTTAAATACAGTTATGCTCTTGATGAGGAAATACCTTTTAATCCAGGGAACGGGATCATACACAAAGCCCCCAGTGGAGTGTTAAAGGTTCACTGTTATAAGTGTCCAAAATCCATTGTTGCATCATTGTGCTTCTCCTTACAACTGTCATTTTCACAAAATAAGCTTTTTAATGGAAAACCCAAAGTGAACGCCGTCCACAAGCAGCACCAGGTGAAGCTTCCTCTCTTCCACACAATAATAAATGCTGCTTTTATTCCGCTTTACAGGTGAAGTCATGTCGGGTTTACTGAAGAAAATAAAACGCATCGACAAACCAGCAGCTGATGAGTTGATGAGTTAGTGACCTTTTGTTTATTGACGAGGATTAGATAATAAAAACAATTTGTTGTTTCACTTTTATAAGATGACTGTTGAGCTCACGTTTAAATGTTGAGTTTCCATCTTTAGTCATTCTGTGTCGTTGTTGCAGACGCTGGTTTACAAAGTGACTCAGACATTCAGGCCCTGACTGAAGACGACCTGCGCGACCTGCTTCCAGGACGTGAGAATAAGAGACGCAGAAGGGCCATTTATGACCTAATCCACAGCCAGGTGAGCTAACAAGTGGGATGAGAGAGGGACTAGAACACAGATTACTGATAGTTTGTAAAACGTATTCTGTTTGTTTCCACAGCCAATTGGTCAGATCCTAAAGAAGCTGAGGGGGTTCATCCCAGAGGCGTCTTTGACAGGTATGCAGGGGCCTACTTTCACTTTCCCCTGTGACAGACATTTTGTTAGTTTGGACTATAACAATATATGCAATATATGTAACTTTGTTAATATTATACAAGGAACAAACGTCCCCCTTTTCTGGGATCATTTACCCAAATTGTGAATGAATAAAGATTAAACATTCTCATTGGTTATTACCTAACCTACTAGAATAAATAGGCATTGCACGGATGTTGACCTCAATTTGTCTGTAAGTTGTGAGCGCCCGACCTCGCGGGGTAGGCCAAGCGGTCCCAGGGGAGAAGAGAGGCGGACAACAAGCAGGATTACGGTGGAATTAACCAAGGTTTATTATCAAAAAAAATGCAAAGGGGAGAGGAGGAAGAAGGGTGAGAAAACGATAACTCAAAAGTTCTTCACCGGGGTGGCCAGGGACATCGGGGCTTCGCCAGATTCCTCCTGGTGCAGAAGAGAGAGAGTATATTTAGTTAGACTCCTTTTGCTGCGCAACATCCCTGGGTCTTACTCTCCTTGCGTTCCGACTGTCCCGCTCGCTTCCTCCCCTGTGTGTCCTGGGAGGAAGGTTTAAAACAGGCTCCTGATTGCCTGCGTGATTACTGACACCTGGGAGGGGAACTCAGTGACACCTGGGGTAGTACCGCCCTTCCATTACCCTGCCTCTTGGTGGCCCTCTCCTGGCTGTTTGTCGCCACGTGGGGCATCACAAAGTGCATCAAACAATTAATGCGGCGGCGTCAAGGCCGTTGCTAGGACGTGTTGCTGCAGGTTCTCCTCTGCAGTCATTTTCTAAAGATCAAGTTAAGTTGGAAGAATATTTGAGTAAATCACATCAACTCGGATGTGACATTTGTCATATGGAGGCGTCCTTCTGGTGAAGTCTTCTCTTATTTAAATAAGATTTCCACACGACGGAAGAAACTTCTTTTTTCAAATATGTAATACATTGAATATTGACGGAAAGAATACAAGTTAAATGTTCTGTCATGATTAAAAATAAATGCCTTTGTGGCACAGCTTGTGTTCAGCACGTCTTCACAGGGACACTGAATGTATCATTCAACTTTCATCTTTGTCATTGTTTTTCTGAACTATGAATCAAATATATTTGAAGAATGATTATATTTTACTGTTCTTGTAAATGTATTAATCTGTTTCACACTCACAGCCATTTCTCTTTCTACAGCCACGTCGTACAAGATGGTTGTCGGCGGTAAAACGTTTGACGCCCACCTGACGCTGATGGAGAAAATAAAGAAACAAGTTCAGAATCAGATCCAGAGTTGTGAAGACGATGCAGACAACCACTCGGTCACTTTTGTCTTCTGTCCCATCAGTTCATGCGTTGCGTCAGACGTTGAGGCAGCCATGTCTGATGTTAAAGGTGAGGGAAGGATTTTTTCAGCCTTTTTTAATATTGAAATGGGAATTATCGCTTTTTTCATTTTAACAGAATTTTGAATAAGAAAGTTATTTTCGACAAATAATCAAAGTTTAGTAGTGAACTTATTGTGTTGGTAAAGGATGATCTTTTGCTAACGTCTCTCTCTTGTTGTGCTCAGATGATAAACCGGTCATTCTGGTGTTGATGCACCACACACACCAAGTCAAGGCAACGTCAACTATGAAAACATGGGATGTTCACGCCAATGTTCTGTTGCATGTCAACGTTTTCTACCATGAGACACGTGGATTACTGCAGTGTGATGAAAATGATGCTGCTGTCACTGAGATAGGAAACAAATTACTGGAGAGCTTCAACCTGAAAAGTAGCATAACCAGTGGAAATGCCCAGGGTGGGGGGGCTGAAGGTGGTGGGACTGGTCTTGGATGGATATTTGTCAAAGGGCTAGAAATGATGGGCTCTTACTTAGAGCGTCATACGTGATACATGATGGGCTCTTAGTTAGAGCCCATCCCAACTCTGATCAAAACATAAACTAGGAATGATTAAATGACCTTAAGAATTTAACCGATTAAAAATGTATTAACCGACAATGTATGTTTTGTGTACCATTTTCTCCGGCGCTCATGTGCCGTGTTTTCCGCACAATAAGGCGCATAAGATACTGCAGTCTATCAGCGCAAATCACTGTAAGAATTCGAGAGCGCAAATCAGGTTGATGCGCGTAAATCAAACATCCACCAGCAAAAGTCCGTCTCGAGCGAGATATTTGCTCGCTTGCGAGACGTGAACTTCCTCGCTCGCGAGGTTATTCTCTGCACGCGCTCGAAGGTGTTTTCTACGCGCTCGCTGTTGTTCTTTCTGACAGTGAGGGGGCGGAGCCAGTCACCATGGTCTCTACACCTGATTGGTTACAAACCCGGTCTTTGGATTGGCTGGAGTGATGCGTTCACACGACTATAGAAGCTCATTTCCGTACTGAAGAAAGGGGATAGAAAGTCGAAATTATGAGACGGTGCTTTCAGGGTCCGATCGATGCTGCGAGGTGCGTCCGCTCCCGCCGCCCCCCTCGCCATCCACGCCTTAAATCTCCGGCTGCTCTCCAGCCGCGCCGCCTGCCAAGGGCTGCTTTTAGAATAACTTATTTCCCCGTTAAGACGGTTGAGCTACTGTAGAGAAAAGGGCGCCGTCTCTCGCTCTTTAATCTCATGAAGTGCTCGGCAAGAACGACAGCTTTGTTTCTCCGACGCACCCTGAAAGCAGCTCCGTATCTCGCTCAGCATCTCGCCGTCGTAGACGAGCTTTGCCGTGTTTGGCAGAGTGTACAACCAGTATGGATCAACCCATTAAGCAATCTGTTCGATTAAATTGTTTGTGCTTCATCAATTAATGTTTCACATAACTAACGTGCCGCATCATACATATTTTTATATTAATTTCAAACTTTTCAAAATTGAAAATTAAAAACTTTTAATTTATTTATTGAAAATGACCTCTGGCGGCCCACCTGCAGTACCTTCGCCTTCGGCCCACACTTTGGGAATCGCTGATTTAGACCATTTGCGAACGGCAGAACACATTATTTTATCCTTCTTAGTAAAATCTATCTCAGCAACTGATCCAACGATAATTGTTTTTTCGCTGTCACGGATTTAAATAGCAAAATGAGTTATCTGCACATTAAGTGCTGTTAAATTTCTAAATATTTATCCAGTTACGTGTGTTAACAATTTTTCAACTCAATTATTCATCCAAAATGTATAGATTTAAGGGAAATAAATGTTGAAATTAATATTTGAGCAGCAATTGAACATCAGACTTAACATTAAATAATAATCAATCTATTCAAATAAAATAGTAAAAGTAAATAAAGATTCAATATAAACATAATGCTGGCTTCCTCATATTTAATTGTGTTGTTGAAAGTGTAAAGTGTGATGACTAATACTCCTTGTACTCTCTAATAAATGGTGTGTTTGATCATATAATCTGTGGGCCTTTTTCCTGTCATTGTAATTATGATTAAATACCATCTATCATCTATTCAACGTACACAGTGTAACAATAGTCTGTACATTTTATAATAAAAATTGAATAAATACCTTCAGTCATAAATAAAGTCCCTGAGGGGTCAGAGGTCAGGGGTCAGAGGGGGCACTGTGTGACGTGTGCAGGTGGAGATGCTGCAGGCCGCCTATGGAAGCTGCCGCGTGCTGCCCCCTGCTGGCTGCACTGTGGATCCTCTGATTCAGTGACAGGAGTTCAGCTTGAATCCAGCAGATGGCGGAAACGCAACATGTTGAAACTGTAACGACAAGTGAGAAAAACAACCGTCACTCGCAGTTTCACTTTCGTTTTACTGTAAATCGGGGTTGCTGTGAAGACCAGCTTGGAGTGGGAATACAGCATAGATTTCTGATTTTTGCTTTGGTTGGATGATTGACAGCTAACTCTTAACGGTTAAAGGAGATCAACCAATTAATCGAGTCGATCCTCCGTCGTGTGATCGATCGCTTCCTTTGGTTTGACTCGTCTACACAGCTGGTTTGTATCCCGATCTTTCACCAATATGTCACACGGACGAGAGAAAAGACGACCTACCAGAATAATAGAATAATAAATGCTGCTTTTATTCCGCTTTACAGGTGAAGTCATGTCGGGTTTACTGAAGGAAATAGAAGACATCGACAAACCAGCAGCTGATGAGTTGATGAGTTAGTGACCTTTTGTTTATTGACGAGGATTAGATAATAAAAACTATTTGTTGTTTCACTTTTATAAGATGACTGTTGAGCTCACGTTTAAATGTTGAGTTTCCATCTTTAGTCATTCTGTGTCGTTGTTGCAGACGCTGGTTTACAAAGTGACTCAGACATTCAGGCCCTGACTGAAGACGACCTGCGCGACCTGCTTCCAGGACCTGAGAATAAGAGACGCAGAAGGGCCATTTATGACCTAATCCACAGCCAGGTGAGCTAACAAGTGGGATGAGAGAGGGACTAGAACACAGATTACTGATAGTTTGTAAAACGTATTCTGTTTGTTTCCACAGCCAATGGATCAGATCCTAAAGAAGCTGAGGGGGTTCATCCCAGAGGCGTCTTTGACAGGTATGCAGGGGCCTACTTTCACTTTCCCCTGACAACCATTTTGTTAGTTTGGACTATAACAATATATGCAATATATGTGACTTTGTTAATATTATACAAGGAACAAACGTCCCCCTTTTCTGGGATCGTTTACCCAGATTGTGAATGAATAAAGATTAAACATTCTCATTGGTTATTACCTAACCTACTAGAATAAATAGGCATTGCACGGATGTTGACATTGATTTGTCTGTAAGTGCATCAAACAATTAATGCGGCGTCGTCAAGGCCGTTGCTAGAACGTGTTGCTGCAGGTTCTTCTAAAGAAGTTGGAAGAATATTTGAGTAAATCACATCAACTCGGATGTGACATTTTTCATATGGAGGCGTCCTTCTGGTGAAGTCTTCTCTTATTTGATTTAAATTTCCACACGACGGAAGACACTTTTTATTATAAAATCTGTAATACATGTGGATAATGCTATAATGATGATGTATAAATGCTAATGTGGCTCTGTGATCAGTCAGCACAGCTTGTGTTCCTCATGTCTTCAGTGTCTGTGGCCTTCTGGTTGCAGAGTAAACATCTGTCAACTCTGCTAAACAATTGGTGTTAAGTTAATATGGTTCATTTTTTGAAGTCAGTAATTACATAATGCTGTTTTTCTAACAGAGTCCGGGTCACATGTGAGTCCTTCGGCCAGCGATCATCCTGAGGAGCTCCAGATTACTCCAAGTGATGGCCGTCCACAAGCAGCACCAGGTGAAGCTTCCTCTCGCTCCTGTTAATGAACAGTATCCAGTAAATAATGTACAATACATTTTACAATACAATACAGTGAGATCATCTGCACATTTCATGTTACAGACTCTTCGGCAGGTTCAGGAACCTCAAACAGCGGTTTTGGATCAGGGGAATATTCTGGCCCGGATAATCCCGACACAAAACAACGTAAATATAATCTTCTTCCTCCTCGCACATTCATGTTTTCATGTTAATATTTGTTCGTGTGTAGTGAATGTGACTGCATAATTCACCTTTGTTCTTGTTTTGTTGTACACGCAATTGCGACTGTTCCGGGATCACGGTCCCTTTAAATGTTTTGTTATGTTGTGACGTAGAGTCCCTTGCTTGTGAGGTTACAGGGCTGCGCCATGTAGAGTGTTGTTGGTAATAATAAACGAGACACACGCTGCTGTTCTCAACTCGCGGAATTGCCTTTCATTACAAACGCAACTTCCACACTGGTGACCCCGACGTTCGTTTGCTGGAAGTATTCGCAAACGCGACTCGACCATGACCGCGAACGCTGTCACCCTCAAGCTCCCCGAGTTCTGGGAATCGTCAGCGTCGGCATGGTTTGCCCAGACTGAAGCGCAGTTCGCGCTGCGGGAGATCACCGCTGATACAACGCGGTACTACTACGTCGTGTCGGCTCTCGGTAGCTCAACAGCGGCCCGAGTGGTGAGCCTCCTTAAACGTCCTCCAGAGACGGAGAAATATGCAGCGCTGAAAGCGCACCTGTTAAAGACTTTTGAACTGTCCGACGCCGAGAGAGCTAGCAGGCTTTTCTCCCTCCAAGGACTGGGTGACAGCAAACCGTCTGAGCTCATGGACCGTATGCTGGATCTCCTGGGTGAGCACACACCCGATTTTCTTTTCATTCAGCTTTTCCTGCGTCAGCTGCCTTCCCAAGTCAGAGCTGCATTGGCCAACACCACAATCACTGACTGTCGAAAACTGGCTGAAGAGGCTGATAAATTTTTCCTGGCAAGCCAAGGACACTGTGTCATGGCCGCATTTCCTCCCACACACGTCGCTCCTGTGACAATGGAGGATTCCACCCTTGTCGCAGCAACCTCTTCTCGGCGGCAACCATCTTCAGGTCGTCAGCAAGCTTCAGGCCCCCAGCAGTCTTCTTCAAGCTTGTGCTTCTATCACGACAAGTTTGGATCGAAGGCCCTTAAATGCCGCTCACCATGCAGTTTCGGCGGTCTGGGAAAGGCGGGGCCGGCGCTCATTAGTGGCCATGAGTGTCGGCCGCGTAGGCAGGCTGCTTTTTGTCCGTGACAGCATCTCCGGACGACGTTTCCTGTGCGACACGGGTGCACAGAGGAGTGTTCTGCCTGCATCCCGTTTGGACATGGTAACCGACAGCCATGGCCCCCCGATGGAAGCTGCTAATGGGACCCCCATCCGCACGTATGGAACAAGGTACATTGAGTTATGCTTCGGAGGGCATCGGTTCGGCTGGGATTTTGTCACGGCTAAGGTCGCTTTTCCCCTCCTTGGCGCTGATTTTTTGTGTGCGCATGGACTGTTGGTGGATGTTAAGAACCGCCGTTTGATCGACGCTGTCACGTTCTGTTCTTATACGTGCACGCTCAGCGGGGGTGACTCCATACGACTGTCTAGCATGCTCTCCCCATCAGACGACTTCCACCGGCTACTGGCTGGTTTTCCAGAACTGACCCAACCCACTTTCTCTGCATCTGCCGTGAAGCATGGTGTGGAACACCATATCGCCACCACTGGTCCGCCCGTCTACGCCCGTGCTCGGCGCCTCGACCCGACCAAGCTTGCCGTCGCTAAGGCCGAGTTTTCTAACATGGAACGCCTTGGAATAGTCCGCCGGTCCGCCAGCCCGTGGGCGTCACCTCTTCACATCGTCCCCAAACCTGGTGGCGGCTGGCGCCCATGCGGCTTAATGAGGCAACAACGCCTGACCGATACCCAGTCCCGAACATACAGGATTTTTCGGCACACCTGGCTGGTATGGTGATTTTTTCTAAGGTGGACCTCGTCCGGGGCTACCATCAGGTGCCCATGCACTCACTGGACATTTCAAAAACAGCGGTGATTACACCGTTCGGCCTTTTTGAGTTCCTAAGGATGCCGTTCGGCCTTAAAAACTCAGCCCAATCTTTTCAGCGCCTCATGGACTCTGTTTTACGCGACCTGCCTTTTCTTTTTGTGTATTTGGATGACATTCTTGTAGCAAGCACATCCAAAGCTCAGCACCTGTCGCACCTCCGAGCACTTTTTGAGCGGCTCAACCAACATGGCCTTATTGTTAATCCTGCTAAGTGCCAGTTTGGTCTCTCCACCATTGACTTCCTGGGACACAGAGTCACCAAGGACGGTGCAGTCCCGCTCCCATCAAAGGTGGAGGCGGTCACACAGTTCCCGCGCCCGCTCACCGTGAAAGCCCTGCAGGAGTTCCTTGGCATGGTGAACTTTTACCACCGTTTCATCCCTCGAGCCGCTCAGCTCATGCAGCCGTTGCACGAAGCCTTGAAAGGTAAGCCCACGCACGCCGTGGACTGGACTGAGGGCAGGGACAAAGCTTTCGTGGACACTAAAGCAGCCCTGGCGCGGGCCACCATGCTGGCACATCCTTCGGCCACAGCCTCTGTCGCTATCACCTCGGATGCCTCGGACTACGCTGTAGGTGCCGTCTACGAGCAGTGGGTAGGCGGGGCCTGGCAGCCGCTTGCTTTCTTTAGCCGCCAGCTGCGCGCTAGCGAGCGTAAGTACAGCACTTTCGACCGGGAGCTGCTCGGTCTCTACCTCGCCATCAGGCACTTTCGTTTCCTGCTAGAAGGTCGACACTTCACCGCCTTTGTCGACCACAAGCCGCTGGTTTTCGCCATGGCCAAGGTGGCCGAACCATGGTCCGCCCGCCAGCAACGTCACCTGTCCTACATTTCCGAGTTCACCACGGATTTACAGCACGTGGCCGGTAAGGACAACCAGGTGGCGGACTGCCTGTCACGGGCTGTGGCAGGAGCAGTCCATCTCGGTCTGGATTACGGCCGCATGGCAGCGGACCAGACCACGGACCCGGACGTGCACACCCTGAGAACCTCGACTACAGGTTTGAGGCTAGAGGATGTGGTTTTTGATGAAGCCAAAACCACGCTTGTGTGCGACGTCTCCACAGGCAGTCCTCGGCCGATCGTTCCCACGGGGTGGAGACGACGTGTCTTCGATGCCATCCATGGTCTCTCCCACCCCGGTTCGAAAGCGTCACAGAGACTGGTGTCGGCAAAGTTTGTGTGGCACGGCCTCAAAAAGGACGTAAGGGATTGGGCTAACACTTGCCTTGATTGCCAACGGGCCAAAGTACACCGCCACACTAAAGCTCCGTTAGAGTTGTTCCCAGTGCCAGAGAGGCGGTTTGACCATGTTAACGTGGATCTGGTTGGCCCTCTGCCTTCCTCTCATGGTTTCACCTACCTGTTGACCACGGTTGACAGGACCACCCGTTGGCCCGAGGCTGTGCCACTGACATCGTTGACCGCTGTCGAGATGACCCGGGCATTTATCGGCACCTGGGTTGCCCGTTTTGGCACCCCTTCGGACATTTCCTCTGACCGGGGCGCGCAGTTCACGTCTGAGCTGTGGAACGCGGTGGCCCAGAGCCTCGGAACGAAACTCCACCGCACGACTGCATACCACCCACAGGCTAATGGGCTCTGTGAGCGATTTCACAGGTCAATGAAGGCTTCTCTTCGCGCCGGCCTCAAAGACGGCAACTGGGTCGACAAGCTCCCGTGGGTGATGCTTGGCATCAGGACTGCACCGAAGGAAGACCTGCAGTCCTCGTCCGCGGAGCTTGTTTATGGCCAGCCACTGCGGGTTCCAGGGGATTTTGTCCCTACTTCCACTGTTCCCTGGTCTGCGACCTTACAGCGGGCCGCACTACTGGACAATGCGAAGCTTTTCGCGCCTGTACCTACTTCCCGTCACGGCCTCCCTCAGTCGCACGTCCCCGCTGGGCTTCAGACGGCTGACTATGTCTTTATTCGCCACGACGCTCACAGGGGACCGCTACGGCCGCCCTACGAGGGTCCATTCCGGGTTTTGGAGACGGGAGACAAACATTTTGTGGTGGACATGGGTGGTAAACCGGAGCGACTCTCCATCGACCGCCTCAAACCAGCTCATTTGGACGTTGCTAGGCCCATTGAATCGGCCCAGCCCCCGCGACGCGGGCGTCCTCCAGCTTTGCGCCCACCCCCTGTGTCCCTCCCTCCCGGGACTCCCACACTCAACACCCCGCGCCCGTGTCGCGGTGGTACACCTGCCACGGTTGGGGCTCCTCGACCCCCTCTGAAACACAGCCGTTCTGGTCGGTTGATACGGCCACCTCCCAACTGATTATTTTTCGTATGGTGAATTCTGGGGGGACGTGTGTAGTGAATGTGACTGCATAATTCACCTTTGTTCTTGTTTTGTTGTACACGCAATTGCGACTGTTCCGGGATCACGGTCCCTTTAAATGTTTTGTTATGTTGTGACGTAGAGTCCCTTGCTTGTGAGGTTACAGGGCTGCGCCATGTAGAGTGTTGTTGGTAATAATAAACGAGACACACGCTGCTGTTCTCAACTCGCGGAATTGCCTTTCATTACAAACGCAACTTCCACACGTGTCCACATCTTCTCCTTCAATGCACTTCATTTGTTTGAGCACTGTGATTGTTTGGCTGAACATAATTGAGCTTTAATACCTTCTATGTCTGACGTTCCCTCTATCCACACATTTAAATACAGTTATGCTCTTGATGAGGAAATACCTTTTAATCCAGGGAACGGGATCATACACAAAGCCCCCAGTGGAGTGTTAAAGGTTCACTGTTATAAGGGTTAGTGTGTCCAAAATCCATTGTTGCATCATTGTGCTTCTCCTTACAACTGTTATTTTCACAAAATAAGCTTTTTAATGGAAAACAACAAAGTGAACGCCGTCCACAAGCAGCACCAGGTGAAGCTTCCTCTCTTCCACACAATAATAAATGCTGCTTTTATTCCGCTTTACAGGTGAAGTCATGTCGTGTTTACTGAAGAAAATAAAACGCATCGACAAACCAGCAGCTGATGAGTTGATAAGTTAGTGACCTTTTGTTTATTGACGAGGATTAGATAATAAAAACAGTTTGTTGTTTCACTTTTATAAGATGACTGTTGAGCTCACGTTTAAATGTTGAGTTTCCATTTTTAGTCATTCTGTGTCGTTGTTGCAGACGCTGATTTACAAAGTGACTCAGACATTCAGGCCCTGACTGAAGACGACCTGCGCGACCTGCTTCCAGGACCTGAGAATAAGAGACGCAGAAGAGCCATTTATGACCTAATCCACAGCCAGGTGAGCTAACAAGTGGGATGAGAGAGGGACTAGAACACAGATTACTGATAGTTTGTAAAACGTATTCTGTTTGTTTCCACAGCCAATGGATCAGATCCTAAAGAAGCTGAGGGGGTTCATCCCAGAGGCGTCTTTGACAGGTATGCAGGGGCCTACTTTCACTTTCCCCTGACAACCATTTTGTTAGTTTGGACTATAACAATATATGCAATATATGTGACTTTGTTAATATTATACAAGGAACAAACGTCCCCCTTTTCTGGGATCGTTTACCCAGATTGTGAATGAATAAAGATTAAACATTCTCATTGGTTATTACCTAACCCACTAGAATAAATAGGCATTGCACGGATGTTGACATTGATTTGTCTGTAAGTGCATCAAACAATTAATGCGGCGTCGTCAAGGCCGTTGCTAGAACGTGTTGCTGCAGGTTCTTCTAAAGAAGTTGGAAGAATATTTGAGTAAATCACATCAACTCGCATGTGACATTTTTCATATGGAGGCGTCCTTCTGGTGAAGTGTTCTCTTATTTGATTTAAATTTCCACACGACGGAAGACACTTTTTTTATTATAAAATCTGTAATACATGTGGATAATGCTATAATGATGATGTATAAATGCTAATGTGGCTCTGTGATCAGTCAGCACAGCTTGTGTTCCTCATGTCTTCAGTGTCTGTGGCCTTCTGGTTGCAGAGTAAACATCTGTCAACTCTGCTAAACAATTGGTGTTAAGTTAATATGGTTCATTTTTTGAAGTCAGTAATTACATAATGCTGTTTTTCTAACAGAGTCCGGGTCACATGTGAGTCCTTCGGCCAGCGATCATCCTGAGGAGCTCCAGATTACTCCAAGTGATGGCCGTCCACAAGCAGCACCAGGTGAAGCTTCCTCTCGCTCCTGTTAATGAACAGTATCCAGTAAATAATGTACAATACATTTTACAATACAATACAGTGAGATCATCTGCACATTTCATGTTACAAACTCTTTGGCAGGTTCAGGAACCTCAAACAGCGGTTTTGGATCAGGGGAATATTCTGGCCCGGATAATCACAACACAAAACAACGTAAATATAATCTTCTTCCTCCTCGCACATTCATGTTTTCATGTTAATATTTGTTTGTGTCCACATCTTCTCCTTCAATGCACTTCATTTGTTTGAGCACTGTGATTGTTTGGCTGAACATAATTGAGCTTAAATATCTTCCATGTCTGACGGTCCTGCAGTTATAGCTCAACAACAAAAGTGAAATTTGCCTGTTATTGTTGGTAAATATAGGTTTATTTACATATTTTGAGCTATAACTGCGTTGTTTCCCAACAGCGGCCACAAAAGATCAGATGTGTCCTTGTGAGGAGCATCAGAGTAGCCAAAGAGAACGCCGTTTTTATTTCATACACAGTGCATTTGTCCAGTATATATTTTGGGAAACCTGCTTTTCTTTCAGTCCTCCTGAGTGGGTGTGAAAATAGATCTGACTCATTGATAATACTATGGTTCTTATTGTGAGTCTGTCATTCTGATAAGTTGTCTAATGAGACGTTGTCACTGTTTGAAACAGAATGTATTAATGCACACAAAGGGATCTTATGACAAATTTTATCTTTTCATGTTTGTAGTTTTTCATTGTTATCTGAACTATGCATCAAACATATTTGAAGAATGATTATATTTTACTGTTCTTGTAAATGTATTAATCTGTTTCACACTCACAGCCATTTCTCTTTCTACAGCCACGTCGTACAAGATGGTTGTCGGCGGTAAAACGTTTGACGCCCACCTGACGCTGATGGAGAAAATAAAGAAACAAGTTCAGAATCAGATCCAGAGTTGTGAAGACGATGCAGACAACCACTCGGTCACTTTTGTCTTCTGTCCCATCAGTTCATGCGTTGCGTCAGACGTTGAGGCAGCCATGTCTGATGTTAAAGGTGAGGGAAGGATTTCATTTGGATAGAATTTTGAATAAGAAAGTTCTTTTCGACAAATAATCAAAGTTTAGTAGTGAACTTATTGATGTGTTGGTAAAGGATGATCTTTTGCTAACGTCTCTCTCTTGTTGTGCTCAGATGATAAACCGGTCATTCTGGTGTTGATGCACCACACACACCAAGTCAAGGCAACGTCAACTATGAAAACATGGGATGTTTACGCCAATGTTGTGTTGCATGTCAACGTTTTCTACCATGAGACACGTGGATTACTGCAGTGTGATGAAAATGATGCTGCCGTCACTGAGATAGGAAACAAATTACTGGAGAGCTTCAACCTGAAAAGTAGCATAACCAGTGGAAATGCCCAGGGTGGGGGGGCTGAAGGTCGTGTGACTGACTATGTACTTGGTTTTTACCAAAGGGCTAAACGTTATATATGGTAATAAGCATATTTAGCAGTGTTGGTAATCGTATTGCTTCAGCTGATGCAGTGGATAGCATCAACTGATTCATTTAGACCATTTGCGAACTGCAGAACACATTATTTTATCCTTCTTAGTAAAATCTATCTCAGCAACTGATCTAACGATAATTGTTTTTTCGTAGTCACGGATTTAAATAGCAAAATGAGTTATCTGCACAGTAAGTGTGTCACGGTGTGGTTCACTTCCTGTCTTATTTTGTAGTTTTCTGCCACTCGTGTCCCCGGGTAACTTCACTTCCTGCCTTGTCTCGTCATCCCCTGTGTTCGTCTAATAGTTTCCACCTGTGTCCAATCACCTGCACCTCCCTTGTGTATTTAAGCCGTGTGTCTCTTGTGTCACTTGTCGCGTCATTGTCTTTCGTCTCACATGTCGCCTGCTGGTTTTCCTCCCGGTTCCTGTGTTTTTGACCCTTTTGACTATTAAAGTCTTTTGTTTCCCGCAAGTCTGCGTCTGAGTCCTGCCTTCCACCCCCAACCCTGACAGAATGACGCGACCAAAGAAGGGCTCAGCAGACCCGCTGCCAGACTACGGTCCGGACTACCTGGACGTAAGGAGTCCCTTCTGGCAGCGGAAAACAAACTGTGTTTTTGGTCCCAGGAGCTATCAGCTCGCCTGCCTCGAGCTCCGGGACCTCCTTAACCCTAGGAGGAGCAAGCGGAAGAAGCGATCTCCCGTTCCCGCTGGGCCGCCGCAGCGATCTCCCGTTCCCGCTGGGCCGCCGCAGCGATCTCCCGTTCCCGCTGGGCCGCCGCAGCGATCTCCCGTTCCCGCTGGGCCGCCGCAGCGATCTCCCGTTCCCGCTGGGCCGCCGCAGCGATCTCCCGTTCCCGCTGGGCCGCCCCGACTCTCACCCATGCCCCCGACCAGTACCGGCCCCACGCTCCATGCCTCCGACCCGACCAGTACCGGCCCCACGCTCCATGCCTCCGACCCGACCAGTACCGGCCCCACGCTCCATGCCCCCGACCCGACCAGTACCGGCCCCACGCTCCATGCCCCCGACCCGACCAGTACCGGCCCCACGCTCCATGCCCCCGACGCCCCCAGTCCCCGCTCCGAGACTCAGGCTCCCTCCCTCCCATCCCATGGTCCTCTCCCACCCTCCCGTTGGTGATTTGAGGGCCGTCTGGGATCCGGCCCTTGAGGGGGGGGCTATGGGGTGGGTTATGGGGGGGGCTGAGCCGCCGCAGACTACGGAGTTGTTCCATGTCCCCGAGCTGGAGCAGACTGGGGAGTTGTTCCGTGTCCCCGAGCTGGAGCAGACTGGGGAGTTGTTCCGTGTCCCCGAGCTGGAGCAGACTGGGGAGTTGTTCCGTGTCCCCGAGCTGGAGCAGACTGGGGAGTTGTTCCGTGTCCCCGAGCTGGAGCAGACAGCGGAGTTGTTCCGTGTCCCCGAGCTGGAGCAGACAGCGGAGTTGTTCCGTGTCCCCGAGCTGGAGCAGACTGCGGAGTTGTTCCGTGTCCCCGAGCTGGAGCAGACTGCGGAGTTGTTCCGTGTCCCCGAGCTGGAGCAGACTGCGGACGTTTCCCGTGTCCCCGAGCTGCCGACGACGACTACTACCCCGGACGTTTCCCGTGTCCCCGAGCTGCCGACGACGACTACTACCCCGGACGTTTCCCGTGTCCCCGAGCTGCCGACGACGACGACTACCCCGGACGTTTCCCGTGTCCCCGAGCTGCCGACGACGACTACTACCCCGGACGTTTCCCGTTTCTCAGAGCCTGCCATTCCTGAGACGTTCCGTGCCCTGTGGTCACCGCTCCGGAACCGGCGAAAGGACCGCCCGCCGGGCCGACCCCCAGAGGCTCCCCGCTCGTCTGGCCGCCCGCCAGGCCGCCCGCCAGAGTTTCCAGGGTGGTCCGACCAACGTCTCTGGTTTCCCTCCCCACCCACCCCTTGTTCGCTCTAGTGTTGGCCGTCTGGAATTCGGCCTTTAAGGGGGGGGTACTGTCACGGTGTGGTTCACTTCCTGTCTTATTTTGTAGTTTTCTGCCACTCGTGTCCCCGGGTAACTTCACTTCCTGCCTTGTCTCGTCATCCCCTGTGTTCGTCTAATAGTTTCCACCTGTGTCCAATCACCTGCACCTCCCTTGTGTATTTAAGCCGTGTGTCTCTTGTGTCACTTGTCGCGTCATTGTCTTTCGTCTCACATGTTGCCTGCTGGTTTTCCTCCCGGTTCCTGTGTTTTTGACTATTAAAGTCTTTTGTTTCCCGCAAGTCTGCGTCTGAGTCCTGCCTTCCACCCCCAACCCTGACAAAGTGCTGTTAAATTTATAAATATTTATCCAGTTACGTGTGTTAACAATGTTTCAACTCAATTATTCATCCAAAATGTATAGATTTAAGGGAAATTAATGTTGAAATTAATATTTGAACAACAGACTTAACATTAAATAATAATCTATTCAAATAAAATAGTAAAAGTAAATAAAGATTCAATATAAACATAATGCTGGCTTCCTCATATTTAATTGTGTTGTTGAAAGTGTAAAGTGTGATTACTAATACTCCTTGTACTCTCTAATAAATGGTGTGTTTGATCATATAATCTGTGGGCCTTTTTCCTGTCATTGTAATTATGATTAAATACCATCTATCATCTATTCAACGTACACAGTGTAACAATAGTCTGTACATTTTATAATAACAATTGAATAAATACCCTCAGTCATAAATAAAGTCCCTGAGGGGTCAGAGGTCAGGGTCAGGGGGGCACTGTGTGACGTGTGCAGGTGGAGATGCTGCAGGCCGCCTATGGAAGCTGCCGCGTGCTGCCCCCTGCTGGCTGCACTGTGGATCCTCTGATTCAGTGACAGGAGTTCAGCTTGAATCCAGCAGATGGCGGAAACGCAACATGTTGAAACTGTAACGACAAGTGAGAAAAACAACCGTCACTCGCAGTTTCACTTTCGTTTTACTGTAAATCGGGGTTGCTGTGAAGACCAGCTTGGAGTAGGAATACAGCACAGATTTCTGATTTTTGCTTTGGTTGGATGATTGACAGCTAACTCTTAACGGTTAAAGGAGATCAACCAATTAATCGAGTCGATCCTCCGTCGTGTGATCGATCGCTTCCTTTGGTTTGACTCGTCTACACAGCTGGTTTGTATCCCGATCTTTCACCAATATGTCACACGGACGAGAGAAAAGACGACCTACCAGAATAATAGAATAATAAATGCTGCTTTTATTCCGCTTTACAGGTGAAGTCATGTCGGGTTTACTGAAGGAAATAAAACGCATCGACAAACCAGCAGCTGATGAGTTGATGAGTTAGTGACCTTTTGTTTATTGACGAGGATTAGATAATAAAAACAATTTGTTGTTTCACTTTTATAAGATGACTGTTGAGCTCACGTTTAAATGTTGAGTTTCCATCTTTAGTCATTCTGTGTCGTTGTTGCAGACGCTGATTTACAAAGTGACTCAGACATTCAGGCCCTGACTGAAGACGACCTGCGCGACCTGCTTCCAGGACCTGAGAATAAGAGACGCAGAAGGACCATTTATGACCTAATCCACAGCCAGGTGAGCTAACAAGTGGGATGAGAGAGGGACTAGAACACAGATGACTGATAACTGTTGTCTAAGATGTTTGTAAAACGTATTGTGTTTCTTTCCACAGCCAATGGAGCAGCAGAAGCTGGAGGCGTCTTTGACAGGTATGCACGGCCCTACTTTCACTTTCCTCTGACAACCATTTTGTTAGTTTGGACTATAACAATATATGCAATATATGTGACTTTGTTAATATTATACAAGGAACAAACGTCCCCCTTTTCTGGGATCGTTTACCCAAATTGTGAATGAATAAAGATTAAACATTCTCATTGGTTATTACCTAACCCACTAGAATAAATAGGCATTGCACGGATGTTGACCTCGATTTGTCTGTAAGTTGTGAGCGCCCGACCTCGCGGGGTAGGCCAAGCGGTCCCAGGGGAGAAGAGAGGCGGACAACAAGCAGGATTACGGTGGAATTAACCAAGGTTTATTATCAAAAAAAATGCAAAGGGGAGAGGAGGAAGAAGGGTGAGAAAACGATAACTCAAAAGTTCTTCACCGGGGTGGCCAGGGACATCGGGGCTTCGCCAGATTCCTCCTGGTGCAGAAGAGAGAGAGTATATTTAGTTAGACTCCTTTTGCTGCGCAACATCCCTGGGTCTTACTCTCCTTGCGTTCCGACTGTCCCGCTCGCTTCCTCCCCTGTGTGTCCTGGGAGGAAGGTTTAAAACAGGCTCCTGATTGCCTGCGTGATTACTGACACCTGGGAGGGGAACTCAGTGACACCTGGGGTAGTACCGCCCTTCCATTACCCTGCCTCTTGGTGGCCCTCTCCTGGCTGTTTGTCGCCACGTGGGGCATCACAAAGTGCATCAAACAATTAATGCGGCGGCGTCAAGGCCGTTGCTAGGACGTGTTGCTGCAGGTTCTCCTCTGCAGTCATTTTCTAAAGATCAAGTTAAGTTGGAAGAATATTTGAGTAAATCACATCAACTCGGATGTGACATTTGTCATATGGAGGCGTCCTTCTGGTGAAGTCTTCTCTTATTTAAATAAGATTTCCACACGACGGAAGAAACTTCTTTTTTCAAATATGTAATACATTGAATATTGACGGAAAGAATACAAGTTAAATGTTCTGTCATGATTAAAAATAAATGCCTTTGTGGCACAGCTTGTGTTCAGCACGTCTTCACAGGGACACTGAATGTATCATTCAACTTTCATCTTTGTCATTGTTTATCTGAACTATGCATCAAACATATTTGAAGAATGATTATATTTTACTGTTCTTGTAAATGTATTAATCTGTTTCACACTCACAGCCATTTCTCTTTCTACAGCCACGTCGTACAAGATGGTTGTCGGCGGTAAAACGTTTGACGCCCACCTGACGCTGATGGAGAAAATAAAGAAACAAGTTCAGAATCAGATCCAGAGTTGTGAAGACGATGCAGACAACCACTCGGTCACTTTTGTCTTCTGTCCCATCAGTTCATGCGTTGCGTCAGACGTTGAGGCAGCCATGTCTGATGTTAAAGGTGAGGGAAGGATTTTTTCAGCCTTTTTTAATATTGAAATGGGAATTATCGCTTTTTTCATTTTAACAGAATTTTGAATAAGAAAGTTATTTTCGACAAATAATCAAAGTTTAGTAGTGAACTTATTGTGTTGGTAAAGGATGATCTTTTGCTAACGTCTCTCTCTTGTTGTGCTCAGATGATAAACCGGTCATTCTGGTGTTGATGCACCACACACACCAAGTCAAGGCAACGTCAACTATGAAAACATGGGATGTTCACGCCAATGTTCTGTTGCATGTCAACGTTTTCTACCATGAGACACGTGGATTACTGCAGTGTGATGAAAATGATGCTGCTGTCACTGAGATAGGAAACAAATTACTGGAGAGCTTCAACCTGAAAAGTAGCATAACCAGTGGAAATGCCCAGGGTGGGGGGGCTGAAGGTGGTGGGACTGGTCTTGGATGGATATTTGTCAAAGGGCTAGAAATGATGGGCTCTTACTTAGAGCGTCATACGTGATACATGATGGGCTCTTAGTTAGAGCCCATCCCAACTCTGATCAAAACATAAACTAGGAATGATTAAATGACCTTAAGAATTTAACCGATTAAAAATGTATTAACCGACAATGTATGTTTTGTGTACCATTTTCTCCGGCGCTCATGTGCCGTGTTTTCCGCACAATAAGGCGCATAAGATACTGCAGTCTATCAGCGCAAATCACTGTAAGAATTCGAGAGCGCAAATCAGGTTGATGCGCGTAAATCAAACATCCACCAGCAAAAGTCCGTCTCGAGCGAGATATTTGCTCGCTTGCGAGACGTGAACTTCCTCGCTCGCGAGGTTATTCTCTGCACGCGCTCGAAGGTGTTTTCTACGCGCTCGCTGTTGTTCTTTCTGACAGTGAGGGGGCGGAGCCAGTCACCATGGTCTCTACACCTGATTGGTTACAAACCCGGTCTTTGGATTGGCTAGAGCGATGCATTCACACGACTATAGAAGCTCATTTCCGTACTGAAGAAAGGGGATAGAAAGTCGAAATTATGAGACGGTGCTTTCAGGGTCCGATCGATGCTGCGAGGTGCGTCCGCTCCCGCCGCCCCCCTCGCCATCCACGCCTTAAATCTCCGGCTGCTCTCCAGCCGCGCCGCCTGCCAAGGGCTGCTTTTAGAATAACTTATTTCCCCGTTAAGACGGTTGAGCTACTGTAGAGAAAAGGGCGCCGTCTCTCGCTCTTTAATCTCATGAAGTGCTCGGCAAGAACGACAGCTTTGTTTCTCCGACGCACCCTGAAAGCAGCTCCGTATCTCGCTCAGCATCTCGCCGTCGTAGACGAGCTTTGCCGTGTTTGGCAGAGTGTACAACCAGTATGGATCAACCCATTAAGCGATCTGTTCGATTAAATTGTTTGTGCTTCATCAATTAATGTTTCACATAACTAACGTGCCGCATCATACATATTTTTATATTAATTTCAAACTTTTCAAAATTGAAAATTAAAAACTTTTAATTTATTTATTGAAAATGACCTCTGGCGGCCCACCTGCAGTACCTTCGCCTTCGGCCCACACTTTGGGAATCGCTGATTTAGACCATTTGCGAACGGCAGAACACATTATTTTATCCTTCTTAGTAAAATCTATCTCAGCAACTGATCCAACGATAATTGTTTTTTCGCTGTCACGGATTTAAATAGCAAAATGAGTTATCTGCACATTAAGTGCTGTTAAATTTCTAAATATTTATCCAGTTACGTGTGTTAACAATTTTTCAACTCAATTATTCATCCAAAATGTATAGATTTAAGGGAAATAAATGTTGAAATTAATATTTGAGCAGCAATTGAACATCAGACTTAACATTAAATAATAATCAATCTATTCAAATAAAATAGTAAAAGTAAATAAAGATTCAATATAAACATAATGCTGGCTTCCTCATATTTAATTGTGTTGTTGAAAGTGTAAAGTGTGATGACTAATACTCCTTGTACTCTCTAATAAATGGTGTGTTTGATCATATAATCTGTGGGCCTTTTTCCTGTCATTGTAATTATGATTAAATACCATCTATCATCTATTCAACGTACACAGTGTAACAATAGTCTGTACATTTTATAATAAAAATTGAATAAATACCTTCAGTCATAAATAAAGTCCCTGAGGGGTCAGAGGTCAGGGGTCAGAGGGGGCACTGTGTGACGTGTGCAGGTGGAGATGCTGCAGGCCGCCTATGGAAGCTGCCGCGTGCTGCCCCCTGCTGGCTGCACTGTGGATCCTCTGATTCAGTGACAGGAGTTCAGCTTGAATCCAGCAGATGGCGGAAACGCAACATGTTGAAACTGTAACGACGCGTGAGAAAAACAACCGTCACTCGCAGTTTCACTTTCGTTTTACTGTAAATCGGGGTTGCTGTGAAGACCAGCTTGGAGTAGGAATACAGCATAGATTTCTGATTTTTGCTTTGGTTGGATGATTGACAGCTAACTCTTAACGGTTAAAGGAGATCAACCAATTAATCGAGTCGATCCTCCGTCGTGTGATCGATCGCTTCCTCTCTCCTTCCTTTGGTTTGACTCGTCTACTCAGCTGGTTTGTATCCCGATCTTTCACCAATATGTCACACGGACGAGAGAAAAGACGACCTACCAGAATAATAGAATAATAAATGCTGCTTTTATTCCGCTTTACAGGTGAAGTCATGTCGGGTTTACTGAAGAAAATAAAACGCATCGACAAACCAGCAGCTGATGAGTTGATAAGTTAGTGACCTTTTGTTTATTGACGAGGATTAGATAATAAAAACAGTTTGTTGTTTCACTTTTATAAGATGACTGTTGAGCTCACGTTTAAATGTTGAGTTTCCATCTTTAGTCATTCTGTGTCGTTGTTGCAGACGCTGGTTTACAAAGTGACTCAGACATTCAGGCCCTGACTGAAGACGACCTGCGCGACCTGCTTCCAGGAATTAAGAATATTAAACGCAGAAGGGCCATTTATGACCTAATCCACAGCCAGGTGAGCTAACAAGTGGGATGAGAGAGGGACTAGAACACAGATTACTGATAGTTTGTAAAACGTATTCTGTCTGTTTCCACAGCCAATTGGTCAGATCCTAAAGAAGCTGAGGGGGTTCATCCCAGAGGCGTCTTTGACAGGTATGCAGGGGCCTACTTTCACTTTCCCCTGTGACAGACATTTTGTTTATTTGGACTATAACAATATATGCAATATATGTGACTTTGTTAATATTATACAAGGAACAAACGTCCCCCTTTTCTGGGATCATTTTCCCACATTGTGCCATTTGTCACCCAAATTAGAATAACTTTAGTAAAGATTCAACATTATCATTTTCTTTCCCATTTGTTATTACCTAACTAAATAGAAAACATGGACATTGCACTGAAGCTGACATTTGTCCGTACGCGCATCAATCAATTAATGCGGCGTTTTCGAGGCTGTTTCTAGGACGCGTTGCTGCTGGTTCTTACCGACTCTCCTCAGTTAGCTGTCAGTCTTTCTTTAAGATGCTTACTTCTCTCCTTTTTAAAGTATCTTTTCCATGTTGGCTTGTTGAAGACTAAACATAACCTTCGTCTGCAGTCTGTGGTGATGAAGGTTTTGCTCGATAATTGTCCCCCATCCAGATGCAAATGGTGCACATCTGTACTTTTATTCCGTCATTCAGATTCTAACACAAAACCTGGCTCTTCCCCTCCAGCTGCTCTAACTAACAATGGGGTCTTGGTTGATTACCTCTGCCTCCTGATGGACGTGAAGACCCAAATGGATAAAGTCATGACTTTCATTGAAGCTCACATCAGCTTTCTGAAAGAATACAAAACAAATCCGTTGGAGCAGGAATCAGCCAGCAGCCAGGAGAAGGTCCAGGGTCACCTGAAGGACACCTCAGCAGGAGAAACACACGGTGACTTTCTCCTCCACTTTAAACTCTCATGTCTGATGAGAAGGATTTGAGATTCCAAATCTCTCCCAGATAGTGTCAGTTGCACAGTCGCTAGTTTGAAGGAAAAAAACAGTATTTTTCTAAAGAACAAGTTAAGTTGGAAGAATATTTGAGTAAATCACATCAACTCGGATGTGACATTTTTCATATGGAGGCATCCTTCTGGTGAAGTCTTCTCTTATTTAGTTAAAATTTCCACACGACGGAAGACACTTTTTATTATAAAATATGTAATACATGTGGATAATGCTATGATGATGATGCATAAATGCTAATGTGGCTCTGTGATCAGTCAGCACAGCTTGTGTTCCTCATGTCTTCAGTGTCTGTGGCCTTCTGGTTGCAGAGTAAACATCTGTCAACTCTGCTAAACAATTGGTGTTAAGTTAATATGGTTCATTTTTTGAAGTCAGTAATTACATAATGCTGTTTTTCTAACAGAGTCCGGGTCACATGTGAGTCCTTCGGCCAGCGATCATCCTGAGGAGCTCCAGATTACTCCAAGTGATGGCCGTCCACAAGCAGCACCAGGTGAAGCTTCCTCTCTCTCCTGTTAATGAACAGTATCCAGTAAATAATGTACAATACATTTTACAATACAATACAGTGAGATCATCTGCACATTTCATGTTACAGACTCTTCGGCAGGTTCAGGAACCTCAAACAGCGTTTTTGGATCAAGGGAATATTCTGGCCCGGATAATCACAACACAAAACAATGTAAATATAATCTTCTTCCTCCTCGCACATTCATGTTTTCATGTTAATATTTGTTCATGTCCACATCTTCTCCTTCAATGCACTTCATTTGTTTGAGCACTGTGATTGTTTGGCTGAACATAATTGAGCTTTAATACCTTCCATGTCTGACGTTCCCTCTATCCACACATTTAAATACAGTTATGCTCTTGATGAGGAAATACCTTTTAATCCAGGGAACGGGATCATACACAAAGCCCCCAGTGGAGTGTTAAAGGTTCACTGTTATAAGGGTTAGTGTGTCCAAAATCCATTGTTGCATCATTGTGCTTCTCCTTACAACTGTTATTTTCACAAAATAAGCTTTTTAATGGAAAACCCAAAGTGAACGCCGTCCACAAGCAGCACCAGGTGAAGCTTCCTCTCTTCCACACAATAATAAATGCTGCTTTTATTCCGCTTTACAGGTGAAGTCATGTCGGGTTTACTGAAGAAAATAGAAGACATCGACAAACCAGCAGCTGATGGGTTGATGAGTTAGTGACCTTTTGTTTATTGACGAGGATTAGATAATAAAAACAGTTTGTTGTTTCACTTTTATAAGATGACTGACTATAAGATGACTGTTGAGCTCACGTTTAAATGTTGAGTTTCCATCTTTAGTCATTCTGTGTCGTTGTTGCAGACGCTGATTTACAAAGTGACTCAGACATTCAGGCCCTGACTGAAGACGACCTGCTCCACCTGTTTCCAGGACCTGAGAATAAGAGACGCAGAAGGGCCATTTATGACCTAATCCACAGCCAGGTGAGCTAACAAGTGGGATGAGAGAGGGACTAGAACACAGATGACTGATAACTGTTGTCTAAGATGTTTGTAAAACGTATTGTGTTTCTTTCCACAGCCAATGGAGCAGCAGAAGCTGGAGGCGTCTTTGACAGGTCTGCACGGCCCTACTTTCACTTTCCCCTGACAACCATTTTGTTAGTTTGGACTATAACAATATATGCAATATATGTGACTTTGTTAATATTATACAAGGAACAAACGTCCCCCTTTTCTGGGATCGTTTACCCAAATTGTGAATGAATAAAGATTAAACATTCTCATTGGTTATTACCCAACCCACTAGAATAAATAGGCATTGCACGGATGTTGACATTGATTTGTCTGTAAGTGCATCAAACAATTAATGCGGCGTCGTCAAGGCCGTTGCTAGAACGTGTTGCTGCAGGTTCTTCTAAAGAAGTTGGAAGAATATTTGAGTAAATCACATCAACTCGCATGTGACATTTTTCATATGGAGGCGTCCTTCTGGTGAAGTCTTCTCTTATTTGATTTAAATTGTCTCCCGACAGAAGAAACATATTTTTATAAAATCTGTAATACATGTGGATAATGCTATGATGATGATGCATAAATGCTAATGTGGCTCTGTGATCAGTCAGCACAGCTTGTGTTCCTCATGTCTTCAGTGTCTGTGGCCTTCTGGTTGCAGAGTAAACATCTGTCAACTCTGCTAAACAATTGGTGTTAAGTTAATATGGTTCATTTTTTGAAGTCAGTAATTACATAATGCTGTTTTTCTAACAGAGTCCGGGTCACATGTGAGTCCTTCGGCCAGCGATCATCCTGAGGAGCTCCAGATTACTCCAAGTGATGGCCGTCCACAAGCAGCACCAGGTGAAGCTTCCTCTCTCTCCTGTTAATGAACAGTATCCAGTAAATAATGTACAATACATTTTACAATACAATACAGTGAGATCATCTGCACATTTCATGTTACAGACTCTTCGGCAGGTTCAGGAACCTCAAACAGCGTTTTTGGATCAAGGGAATATTCTGGCCCGGATAATCACAACACAAAACAATGTAAATATAATCTTCTTCCTCCTCGCACATTCATGTTTTCATGTTAATAATTGTTCGTGTCCACATCTTCTCCTTCAATGCACTTCATTTGTTTGAGCACTGTGATTGTTTGGCTGAACATAATTGAGCTTAAATATCTTCCATGTCTGACGGTCCTGCAGTTATAGCTCGACAACAAAAGTGAAATTTGCCTGTTATTATTGGTAAATATAGGTTTATTTACATATTTTGAGCTATAACTGCGTTGTTTCCCAACAGCGGCCACAAAAAATCTGATGTGGAGAAGTCGTTCTGAGGAGCATCAGAGTAGCCAAAGCGAACGCCGTCCACAAAGAGCAGCAGGTGAAGCTTCCTCTCTTTGTCTCTCTGTCTCTTGTTTAGTGAGTTTTGTCTCTTCCATTGTTACACTTTCATGACAAACAGTTTTCTCATTAATCTCATTCTCATGTTGGTCGATTTCTACAACACAAACTTAACGGTATGATACCAAAATACTGTTTTTTAAATCGGAAAAAAGGGGAGAGCGCTTTTGGAGCCATAATTTCACCAAAAAAACATTGTTCAATTTTATTTCGGTTTTATTTCATACACAGTGCATTTGTCCAGTATATATTTTGGGAAACCTGCTTTTCTTTCAGTCCTCCTGAGTGGGTGTGAAAATAGATCTGACTCATTGATAATACTATGGTTCTTATTGTGAGTCTGTCATTCTGATAAGTTGTCTAATGAGACGTTGTCACTGTTTGAAACAGAATGTATTAATGCACATAAAGGGATCTTATGACAAATTTTATCTTTTCATTTTTGTAGTTTTTCATTTTTATCTGAACTATGCATCAAACATATTTAAAGAATGATTATATTTTACTGTTCTTGTAAATGTATTAATCTGTTTCACACTCACAGCCATTTCTCTTTCTACAGCCACGTCGTACAAGATGGTTGTCGGCGGTAAAACGTTTGACGCCCACCTGACGCTGATGGAGAAAATAAAGAAACAAGTTCAGAATCAGATCCAGAGTTGTGAAGACGATGCAGACAACCACTCGGTCACTTTTGTCTTCTGTCCCATCAGTTCACGCGTTGCGTCAGACGTTGAGGCAGCCATGTCTGATGTTAAAGGTGAGGGAAGGATTTCATTTGGATAGAATTTTGAATTAGAAAGTTGTTTTCAACAAATAATCAAAGTTTAGTAGTGAACTTATTGATGTGTTGGTAAAGGATGATCTTTTGCTAACGTCTCTCTCTTGTTGTGCTCAGATGATAAACCGGTCATTCTGGTGTTGATGCACCACACACACCAAGTCAAGGCAACGTCAACTATGAAAACATGGGATGTTTACGCCAATGTTGTGTTGCATGTCAACGTTTTCTACCATGAGACACGTGGATTACTGCAGTGTGATGAAAATGATGCTGCCGTCACTGAGATACAAAACGAATTACTGGAGCGCTTCAACCTGAAAAGTAGCATAACCAGTGGAAATGCCCAGGGTGGGGGGGCTGAAGGTGGTTGGACTGGTCTTGGACGGTGGAACTTGAACACAGCTGCGAGAAGCGTTGGCAAGGAACTGGGGCGAAGGGGCTGGAAATGTTAAAAAAAGGTTTCAGTGGTAAGAATAGTTAGCAGTGTAGTTGTGGTATTGTTTCAGTTCATGCAATGGATAGCATCAACTCATTCATTTAGACGCTTTATGGATTGCAGAAAACTTTATTTTATCCGTCTTGGTAAAATCTACCTCAGCTACTGATCTAATTATAATTGTTTTTTTGGTAGTCACGGATTTAAAAGGAAAACAAAGAGTTATCTGCACATTAAGTGTAAGGTTTAATATAAACATACTGCTAGCTTCCAAGCATGAATGGGGAATTTTGCTGTCCCTCCTATATAATTGGGTTGGTGAAAGTGTATGTAAAGTAGGATGACTAATATTCCCTAGACCCTCTAATAAATAGTGTGTGAAATCATATCATTTGTGGGACTTTTTTATGTCATTGTAATTATCATTAAAAACCATGAGCTCTTCTATTCGACAAAATGTCAAATGTCAAAATGTTTGTGTTTAGTTGCGTTCAGACCAACCAATTTCAAATTAGAAAATGTTTCTTTTTGGCTTTTCATTACGTCAACTCAGCTCCAAAGTTTCTAAAAGGTTGCCATGTTTTGCCAGACAATATTTCATATGCAGTAACTATAAACAAATGTCTTATGTTGCGTTTTTCAAAATAAAGAATTCTATTAACCGGTGGCTGAAAGTTTAAGTGTAAAATCCCTTCAGTGCTAAATGTTCACAAGGTTAAACGCCCGAGGCTTTTATTCGGGAAAGAGAAAAGTTATTTTGCTCTGAAAAACCTGGCCGGAAGTTGGACATTGTCTACTAACTGCTTCCTGTCGGCATGTAGGCGCGCGCCGTGGAGTTGAATGCTATTTTCCTTCATTTGTTAGGGACTTTTTTTCTGACAGACTGCCACCAACGAGCTTTCTCCCTTAACGGCGCGAGGACAAGTTCCCCAAACCTGACGTTACATCCCGCTTAGTTTAGCTAACATTTTGCGCAACAGTTAGCTAGCTGTTAGCTCACGTTGACTCAAAGGAAAACTTAACGTTGCTCGTTGAGTTAGCTGACAGTTACCGTTAGCTCACTGTTAGCTAACTGAACGGATAATGTTACGTTACTGCTTGACTGTTTGATATACTTCCACCGGTATTAGAAAGGAAACCGTAAATTACTCAGTTTTCATACCCGTACCTTCCCAACGGGAGTTTGTCTTATAATAACTGCTTCGCCGTCATCTTAGCTAACGTTAAGTTAACGTTAAGTTAGCTGCTCCGTCTGCACAGCTAGCCAGCTGTTGACGTCAGTTAGCTAAAGTTTGTCCCTCTCTGTCACGCTCCTCGGTTGCGTTCTGTTGAGACCGATTTGATCGACGTGTTCAAAAAAGAAGAAGTCATGCAGCCGTAACCTCATTTAACGTCTTATCACACAGTCCCTTGTGATGGAGGTTGTTACCTAGGAAACACCGGTCGTCCTTATCGTATGCACGGTGGCGTCTGTACGAGAGAGCAGTGGGTGAGATGCAGCCAGCCAGCATCTCCTATGGCAAAGAGACCAAACCTGCCACTGATGAGCAGGAGGAGGGAACTCGAGAAGCTGTGATTAGAGAGGAGAGTGGGACACAAGATGAGGAATGTGTGAGGATGAATCCAGGTCAGGTGGATGCAGTCGCCCTGGATGTCCAACAAGAAACCACAGCGCCAGGTGAGCACAACTGACTGAGACGCTGACTAGGTTTACTAATGGACGTAATTCTGCACCTGTTGACCTGGGTAGCTCGAAAAAAACCAGATGGATGGATTGAGGTTAAACCTTCTTTCTAATTGTGCTGAAAAAATTGAAAGTACAATGATATCTGGTGGTCTGCAAATGTTTTATTACTGAAAATATAAATAAACACACTGTACAAAAAAACTATACATGTTGCTTGTTTGTGTAGTTTAAAATATTTGCCTTTCAGTATCCCTACAGATATTGCTTTATTTTTTAATTGGTCTTTTTGGTCAGCCTAATCAATCATTTAAAGAAATCTCTCAAGCAGGATCAAACAGGAGGAGGATGAAGATGAAGATGCGGAGGGAGAAGAAGAAATTGATGAAGAAACAGCTCAAGTCGGCTGATACTGATGCTTTAATATCGGAGCTTCCGTTCTCTCTGACCAGTCCCACTACATTGAAAGAGCTTGAATGTATGTATATTCTGTATATAAATGATGTGTTTTAACTAACGTTAGAACTCACTTTTTTTATGAATATAACATTTCCTAGCCCCTTTCTTCTAGTCTCCAGCTTGATCCAAAAAGAGAGAAAGAGGAAGAGAGGAGACCATGGAGGGCGAGTTGACAGTGAAGAGGATGCAGAGATGAAAAAGAAGAAAGCGAGCCAACGCCCCAACTACTTTGTCTCCATCCCCATCACCAACACGCAGGTGATAAATGTTCACTTAACATAGTTTGTGTGACAGCGTCTGACCGGCGGCGGCTAATAAAATGTATCCAATGACAGATCAGTTCTGCCGTGATGGAGATCCAGGAGGCGGTGCTTCGGAAGGAGCCCCGATTGGCCAAAGCCATGTTGCCTGTCCCGACTCTCCACATCACGCTATTGGTCACTCATCTCGCCGGTCAGGAGCAAGTAGACCTGTGAGTGGATGCGCACAAACATGCAAACAGACTCTGCATTCACTTGGTACAGTGAACCTTCTACCTGAATAGGACAACGCATCCTGTCAATGGCAGAATGGAGAATATGAAGAGCTTTCAGTTTGACCGATGGTTCGGTGCCATTGCTGTGATTACTGCCTCCGACTCCTCACAGTGACAACTGTTGATTTCATTTTTAAAAAGTACATTTCATTTTCTACCATATCGGCCGTGTGACGGGGCAGCACTGATGCTTAATCTGCATCCTGCAGAAGACTGTCATTAGTAATCACTAGATTCACTTATGTAATATGAGAGGGAGGGAGGGAGAGAAAGAGAGAGCGAGAGAGAGGGGATTAAGTTGTGATTGTGTGTGTGTGTGTATATTAATGTGTATATTTCCTCAAAGCGCGGCAACCGCGCTGGACCGGTCCGGGCCGCCACTGGCTGAGCTACTGGGTGGGCGGGACCTGGTGCTGCCCTTCTCGGGGATCGGTCATTTCAGGAAGGAGGTGGTGTTTGTCAGTTTGGCTCCCGGACTACACAGACACACACTGGACAGTGCGGCAGGTCAGTTACAAACTTTTCACTTTCTTTGTCATTTTATGTCCTTTTTGCTTCTCCCTTTCCTCCAGGTCTGTCACTCTTTATGTTGAATTCCAGTTACGCTCTTCATGTAGTTTTACTCGTGCTGTGTTTCAGTCTGAAACATTTCATCAGAGGATCTTATCGTGACGCGGTACTTTGTTCCTCGTCTCCCCGGGGGGGTCCGCCGCGCAGCACTGCAGCCGCTCGGAGGATTTGTAGTCTTTGTTGTGGACACTTTGGTGGAGCGGATGCTTTCCCTGGCGGTGGATTGGCTTTAGGAGGTCACTGATTGGACTGATTAGGAGAGTTTATTTTGGGGGCTGTAGGTGTTAAAGCGAAGGGGCCAACTCGCATTCAAAGTTTGTAGGCCGTCCAAGCCTGCCTTGAGATGCCCGAGGAACAGGTGGAATTATTTGACCTCACATGTGGCCCTTCAGTTGGGCCCCTGCACTATAATAAAACACATCTGTAGCTCTTTAATATCCAACTACATGCACTGATTTCATATTGGTTGTGGCAATGTCCTTTTTCTTCAATCGCTTTAAGTGGATGTGGTCATATTATACTGTATTTGCATGGTCCCTGTGTGTGTTGTGTATCAGCATACGCTATTCACATCTGGGGTGGGACTTCCCTTCATTCATTTTGTTACATCTTTCATTTCCCATCTGCACAAGTGCGTGGGAGTATGCAGAAACACTTACGTTTTGTGCCTTTGGCAAAAACACTAATCTAAAAATTCTAAGAGGATTCTGTGGTCTTGCAACACACACACACACACACACACACACACACACACACACACACACACACACATAATTGCTTAATAAGAAACATGCAAGCAGGGATTTGTGAAAGTAGAAACATACATTTCTGTGCACAGGCTCAATAGGAAATTTCACAGCCGCTCATCCAGTGTATTAACTGCTCCAAGCAAATACTACATTTAGCATATTAGTGATGGCCGGGCTGAGACAAATCCCAAAATGCATTTCATCTCGGGGCTTTATATAAATAGGAAATGCAGTAAATTAATCTTTTAAAGAGATAAAGCGACCAAGGCCGCGGTTGTACAACATTTCCACAGCTATGGGGTTGTCTTCAAAATACTTTTTTGTCAGTCATCAGATGAACCAAGTGTGTGTGTGTGTGTGTGTGTGTCTCTTCTTGTCTAATCTGGATCCATCCCATCAAACCGTGTGCATTAGCTGACACAAACACAGGCAGACCCTCCATAATGACCCCGCTGACACAATCAACCTGAACCTTTGAGTGACTGATTGCAGGCTGCAGCAAATATGAAGTGGGTTGAACTATTAATAGGAACAGTTTGGGCTCAATTTCTGCTTTTATCTTGACGTTTGGGCCGTGACTCTGCCTTCGCTGCCTCGTGTGTAGCACAGCAACACTTCTGCATGGTCTCATTGTGAACACCTGTAGGTCCTGCTAAACAGAGGCGTTCAAAGGGAACGCCGCCATGTCGTGTTTTTAATTAATATTCCCAGCATGAAAAAACAAACGGCAACAAAGGAGGATAAAAGTCTGTGTTGTTCCCCTCGGAGAAGCAATAGGCCTCTTATTGATTATGTACTAACCTTTCTCTCCCTGAAGAGCTGTAGAGACTAAAAATACCTCTGTTGTTTCCCCCCAAACCTCATCACGGTGTGTGTGCGTCCTTGTGTGCGTTTGTCCTTGCAGGCTGTTCGGTGTTTGTGTTCATGTCATATGTTCAAAAGACATGTGAGTAAAAAGCTTCTTTTAATCTTCCGTCTCGCATCTTGTGCCGTCTGTGTCTGCGCTGTTTGTGTCCTCCTTCGTGGCTTCGACCAAATTCGTGATTTTGCGATGCTGTGACCCTCTCATGACCTCATTCACGCGTCTTCTCTCTGTGAAATGGTAACTTTGATAACTCTCATTCCTCTTCGGCCTCCTCAATACCAGCGGTTGCTTATGGAACTTTAGTTGTTGCGTTTGTGCGTTTGCAGAGTTGCTGCGGAGCGAATTTGAGGAGCAGGGTCTTCTGCAAGAAGGCAACCGTGGGTTTGAACCCCACCTCACCATTATGAAGCTGTCCAGAGCATCAAAACTACGATCCCAGGTGTGTGTAAACACATTCGAAGTTCATACTGTGATAGAGATGCTCGGCATGACAGCATTTATTAAAGCTTTTAGCCGATAGCAACATCGTTTTCAGTCCAATATACATTTCACTGCTAATATTTAACTGATCTTCTTTAACTGATTATCTTCTACAATATTTGTAGTTTATTTATAGTCAAAAGTGTCTTTGAAATCAGTTAAAGGGGCATTCTACAAACTACTTGAACTATAAGTCTGGTGATTTGAGTCATCATGCATAATAAATTCATTTTAATTTAATTGTTTTGAATGGATAATGTCAGCAAAGATTGTTGTAGTACTTACTTAACCAATTACGCATTGATATCATGACTCACAAATGATTGTCCCAGCCTTCTGTGGGGTTTTAATAGAAACTAAATGTTTATATTTGCATAGTTCCTAAACATAACGTTTAGTTATGTTAGGATGGATTTGAAGTAGAAGAAAGGTTTATGAAGAAAGGAAACAGAATAGTGATGAAGAGGGTGGTTGTGAAATGGATGAAGATATAAATAAGAGGGGAGGGAGAGATGAGCACAAACAGTCAGCGGTCAGGAAGGGAGGCACGGAGGAAAGAGTCTATCTTTCTATTGTCCTGTTGACACCTGATGACATTGCATCCTGTGTGTGTGTCTCTTCTTCTCAAAAGTGTGATAGTCAGTGACGTCAACACTTTTTTCCCTTTGTGTCCCTCAGGGTATAAAGCGTGTGGACCCGGCCCTCTACTCCAGCTACACTAACAAGTAGGTGGTTGTTCTGCTGTGTAGCACTTTTGCACCTTATAGATGGGAGAGAATCCCATTTTTAACATTTATTTTATAAAATCAAGACTTCATGATTTTCTTTGCACTTTAAATGAACCTCACTCATATTTATCACTAATGCATACCGTTTTGTTTAAATCTTGTCGTGTTTTGGTCTCACGCTTTCTCTTTGTCGCCCTCTCCGCTTGAAACATCCAGGTTTTTTGGAGACCAGACGGTTGAGCGGCTGGATCTTTGCTCTATGTTGAAAAAGAAGCAACAAGATGGATATTACCATACTGAGATGTCACTAAAACTTGGTGAGTACGCATATACACACACACACATGCAAGCACACTTTGGGCTATTAGTGGCACTATTATGCCACCGGAGGGCGCTCTCTGTTGGGATAAAGATAAATAAGTTCATCTTGTTTTCTGAGTCGGAGATAAATTGTTGTGCGTTGTATTTTCTCCAAATGATGTTGGATAATATAGATATAATATACCTAAAAGGTGTCAAATAGCAGCATCTAACTCAATGTGCTCATGAGAAGCCAGAAAGGAAGCCAAAGCTGCTCCTCAGCTACTCGTCGGCTCGTGTGCATGAAGTCATGGCTGCCCTGTGGGGAGGTTTCCATCCTGCCAGTTGTCGCCCCGGTTGTTGAATAGCAGCTCTGTATTGTTCCGTTGAATGGAAGCGGGGCCACCGGGCCCGGGGTTGTTGTTGTGAATGTGAGTGGAACGGGTTTATGTGCTGACCTGCATTTCCTCAGGTCCTTAAGCCCTTAAGGAAATATGATTAATATTAGGAAGGGATAGATTAGAAATTGATTTTAGGCAGCATCCCATGCTGTTTGCCCACGGAGAAACAAACGTCCCTCACAGGCTGAGTGCTTTGTGCCGGTCGAAGCCGAGATCAATCAACGGGCGTAACGACAAACACAACGTCTGCTGTCACTAACGAGAAGTGTCTGGAAGAGATGCGAAAAGCACGATTCTAATAGGAATGTGGAATTGTAGCTTTTGCACAGATGAAAGACTCATTACTGCTGAAATATCTGGCCGGTAGTCTAACATGGTGCACATAGATTGGAGGACACATCTGTGGCTTCGTCAGGGTCTGTTAGGGAGGCGCTTTGTGTGATCAAACACACCACCTCTTTGTCATTAGCAGATGGAAACTTGTGTTTTTAGTGCGATATTAAGCCCTCGGGTTGGAGTAACTTCACAATTTGTGCTTCAGAGGTTCAATGTGATCTGTAAGAGTCACGTGGTGAAACTCTGACAGCTATTCGTTTTCAGCATGAGGCCAATTCTCCGTCATATTTTACCTTTCAAAAGCAGCGGCGTGGAATGAAGGAAAAGCAATCATGCTGTGCGTAACGTTTTGAATCTCATTTCAAAAGGAAAAAAAAAAGGGTTTGAGGGTCTTTGTGTCTCTCACCAAAACCCACAAACGCATGAATACGTTATCACACTGCGACCGCGGAGTTAACCGGATTAATGTACACCGCCAAGTACACTTCACTTGACAAAGGCTCCTCAAATCCCACCGGGGTGTAGCTGCACTGATTAGTGTGTGTGTGTGTGTGTGTGTGAGTGAGCGACAGAGGCTGTCAGCATGGGTGGAACTAGGCTGTCATAATGTTTTGTGGATCACTGAGCTATCTGTGAGCGCTTTGTCACTGTGTGTGTGTGTGAGAGCAGCCGACCAGGAGGCTGTTTTCCTCACACGTCCGAAGCTCGTGTTATTTCATAACAAAATGCACTTAGGTTTTAATTGCACGCAAGGTCAAAGCGAGCGCTGCTTCCAGTTCTCTGGCATTCTAACGCTCTGTGGAGCCTTGTTGTGTTTTTAGCGGCGCTACGCCAGTAATTGTTTGGTTGAATACAATCGGTGATGTTTGCTCTACATCCAGTTTGCTGGACTGGATGTAATATCACACATTTTATGTGGGTTCATCCCTGCGCCAGACTCTATCCAACCGAGCCTTCTGCATGCCGCATTGACAGTCATATGGTAACCTAGGAGACAATGTGGCCCCGTGTGCTCAGACTAATTTGGCCTGCAGTCAACACACCGGTCATGATTTGGTTTGAGTGAAATACCCACTGTGTTATCCCCACTGTGACCCATCAAACGGACACATTCTCTATTTGAATAAGCTCGCTGAGGTGTTACGTGGATTTGAAATAGAGGTCAATGTGGGTTTTGGCAAAGTAAATATTTGTACAAGGCGTAACTGATGACTACTTAAAGGCTCTTTAAACAAACCTCAAAGTGTTCCGTTTAAAAATAGGACGTGGAATCGTTTGACCTTGTACGGCTTTTGTTAGAATACGTTTGGTTGTACTGTTCAGTAGATTTGGATACAGACTAAGTCCTCTTATAACTAGCTGCACAGGAAAATCAGTTTGATTACTTTGTAGACCCCGCTGCAGCAGAATTAGAGGTGCTACAGATTAAAACATTCTAAAATGTTCTTTTTGCATCCTTCTTATTGAAAACAAAATGTGTGTTTGTTATTTTATTGAGTCATCCGCATCCAGCGACCATCCAAGGATCTGCAGCCCCAGAAAATGGCGGTTGCGGAACTATTATTTTGATCATCAGGTCGTAGGTCAGGTCGTGGGTCAGCAAGCGCACACATGTGAGGTGTCCACGGTTCAGACCGCGACTTCCATTGACAAGTGACAACCCCCCCTAAGACAACACACCTCCACAAGAGAAACCGGCGCTGCCGGTTGAGCCGGATGGACCGCACAAGTTAGGATAACTTCCTTAGTTGTATGAGTACGTCCTCAAACCAGCAAAGACGACTTCCAAAGCATCCCGTGGTTTCTAGACGGATGAAGAGCTTTTTCATGAATGGAAAACACCTGGATGGAAGGTATGACAACTCAATCACTAAAGCTGTGCTCTAAGAATGATGCATGTGGGATGAAGCCATGATGAGCACTTCTTTAACTTCACTGCCAATAGACTGATTGTTCCATCCAGATGCAGATGCAGTAGCTCAGAAAGAATTATCACACTGGAATTCGAATCCAGAGCTTTTTCTGCTGGTTCTCCGGCCAGCGTCTGACTACGTGCGTATGATAATCCCATAATCCACTGTACAACATAATCCACAGCAGAGCCTGTGATACTCCACCGAGGGTTTCATTGTTAGCGGGGGGAGGGTAGGGGGGTAGAATGGTGAGGGAACTTTTTGTTCGATGTAGGGGATCAAAACATGAATTTTCTAATCCTTAAAATGTTGACAACTGTGGATTCTGTTGTAACAACAAGCGCAGTTTGATACAGAAGATGCAGCAGGAGAGCAACTGGTGATCAGATCAGACAAACGGACTCGTGAGGTGAATAAGTGAAAATGAGATTACAAACCGGCAGCCCGGGTCACATGCTGCACCATCTCCTCGTGACTCCGTCTGGGGAAAGTTCATTAAAGGGTCCGGGACTAACAAACCAAAAAACCCTTCAGAAAACACAAAGACCATGAATATTATCAGGGAGGAATTTCATGTAGAATTTACTGGTTATGAAATAGGCTTTCAACTGTTACCACATCCCCTCCCTCCTTCTCTCCCTCACTCCCTCCCTCCCTCCCTCAAGTGCTTGAAACAAGAAATGTCATTACAAATGCCATTTGTGTTTAGACGGATGCGGGAAAGTTTCCATCTCGGGAACAAAAACACTGTCTAAGTCTCCTTCTGCTCTGTTGGCTGTTAGTTTTAAGCAAAGGAATGGAGGCGGTTAAAAGGGCGCTTGTCTGTGATGACAAGTCTCCTCACTCGCCATGTCACTTCAACAAGGGCTCCTGGGTAATGTTTGAGCCAGTGAGTGGCTGAACGGCACACGAGCAGACGGATGAAGGCGGCCTGTTGCCCTTTGACCCTTTGGGTATTTAATTAAGGTGAGGTCACTTCCTTCTGACTGCGCCGCGTCCTGTGCTACGAGTCTTTGTCAGCGCTCGTCTCCCGGTCGCCAGCCGCGAGCTGCAAATGAGGCAATTTGCTCATTTGCATTTAAGCGGGCCAATTTATTTTCTGGAGACGGCGTTAATACAGGGAACCGCAGCGTGTGGGACACCGATATTCTGGGATTTAACGATTGTTGAACAGTCCTCACGGATTATCGAGAGCTTCACTGTAGCGTAGAAACTCGTTGGCGCTACCGAGTCGTGGTGGCGGCGGCGGCTGGATTCGTTCCCAGTTAATAAAAGACAACTGTAAATAGGCCCAAAGTGTTAACGGTAGATACCTTCGTCGTAATTAATTTGATTAATAAACAACTGCGTGAAAGATGGCTTTTATAATATTGATTTCTAGTGCAAGCAACACAGATTAACTGTTAATTCTCAAGTCTCTGCTGCTCATGTCGTGTTTTCTCTCCACTTTGCATTTGCAGCAGCGTGTCGGGGAAGAAATATTAAAGACCGAGCAATTGTTTATATATAAAAGAGTTTCTCCCGTCTCACTGGTCGGCTGATGGAGAGAAATTTCCTCGTTTTCACGTCCCTCCCGTCGAGTGAATGTCTCACTGCATTTAAAGTTCTCAGACCAGCTGTGTCCTGCATTCAGAGCTCATCAGCCAACAACGGCCGACGGGTGATTTGCTTGTTTTTGTGACATCCGCGGGACCCTGAAGACGCCTCGATAGTTAATATTCGTGCAGCAATAAGCGCAAAGCCTGTGCCTCGGAGGTGGGGGTCTTACGTCATGCTGCGGTGGGTCTAAATCGGTATTCAGTGACGCCGACGACGAGAAGTAGCAGAGTGTGGGAAAAGACCAAAAGGGAGAAGAGGACAACAAAGCCTCCGGTGACCGGTCCTCCGTCCGCTGGGGGTGGAAGGACACGAGATCGAAGAGGGTGGAGCGACGGTTAAGTGACATTTAGCACGAGTGTGGGAGAGAACCGGCTCGCACGGTGGTAGAATTAGACCTGAAACATCAAACTGACAACAATGAAAAAAGGATCACGGCACACGGAGAATTGTCTCTCAGGTTTGTTCTGTCAGACAAGATGAGAGGAAACTCGCCACAGTGTTTTCCTCCAGTGGTCCAACTAGAACACGACTTCTGAATAGTTCAGGATATAATCATCCGAGACACGGGCTCGTTTTACTGCAGTGCTTAAAAAAAACAAAAAAACAGCTGTATTAAAAGATATGTGTCTTTTTAAAGTAAAAATGTGAAAACTATGGAAACTAATCCCCAAAGTGTCGTTGTTTGCCGTTTCCTGAGTCCAGTCCAAGTGGAGGCTGTGTAAACAAGGCGAGCAGCCCGGAGAAGTGCTGGAAAGACAAACCCACGCA